AATCCGTTGCCATCCTAATATGGTCTCGGTGCAAAGTACGGTTACATGTTTCACCTTAGGTGATCTTGAAACTCGATAGGTGAACAATGATTTGGGCACCTTGATTGTTCTATTTCAGACGACGGGTATGCATTTCAAGAAAACTGGGGATTTCCACGTGAAGATGTGTAAAACAATCTCTCTCTCTCTGCCCCTTTCTCTCTCACACGCTCGTGTCATGTTATCTATTAGGCATATCAGCCGGAAAAAATACAAATAGACATGGTTGTGTACGCACACCCACACACATACATATACACCACTATATACACACATTTGGATCCTTGTTTGTAATATTTCAGATGACGTGCATCATAAGCTAGTTTTCGCACGGCGACGCAAGTGTTGACTACGGGATATTTAAATGAGCTCGCCACCCCGTACTAGCTCGACTCCGACGACAATACGGCTGAATACCGTGGTGGGTTTGGACGCTACGCGGAAATTTTCGCTCTTAGTGCGACCTCCGGCTAAGATTAGCGTTGTAGAAGGCCGCGTCGTCGGTTGCGAAAACTCGCTTATTTCAAAAAACTGGGGATTTCCACAAGTGTTGTATACCTCACAGGCTCTTTTATGTCCGATTGTTGGGCTGTCAAGCAGGGGCGTCGCTAGACCTTTTTCAGTGGGGTGTAGAGGCCACCGATTATCGACAAAACTAGCCACCAATTACCGACAAAATTTAATGTCCCAGTGTCTACAAATGTAACCCTATAAACCCCGAAGGCTAAATTGTTTTTCCTATGAACTATCTATTGTACTTGCGTATGTGCAAATGGTCATTTTCCTCGATGACATAAATATAAGAATTATTTCGTCAACTTCGTCAGTATCATAGCTATATATTTAAATGCAAGCGTGTAGCTAGGATCCTATTCTAGGGGGGCGGTAATGAGGAGCGAATCACCTAAAGAGCGCGCGAAGGGCTTCCCGCGCGAAGCTTAGACCTTAAAATGAGGAAAGAAGACGATTCGTCGTATTCCGTTCTTGACTCTTAGCCCTAACTGTCTGCATTCAGCCCCCTCCCCCCACCCCACTCCCGCGCGAAGCGCGACAGCTTTGACGTTTAATTAAATTATTATAGAAAAAAGATGATTTGTTGTACTGTTCTCGACTCTTAACCCTAATTGTCTAAATTTAGTTTCCCCCTCCCGCAAGAAGCGCGGAAGCTTTGAAGTTTCATTAAATTATGAGAGAAAGCAGACGATTCGTTGTAGTGTTCTCGACTCTTAATCCTTATCTAAATTCAATTCCTCCACCCTCCCGCGCGAAGCGCGGAAGCTCAGACGTTTATTTTAATTATTAGGGAAAGAAGACGATTCGTCGTACCGTTCTCGACTCTTAATCATGCACGTAGCCACGGGTGGGCATGGGGGGAGGGGGGCACGTGCCCCAAACAAATTTCCAAGATCGGTTGAACTTTTTAGACCCCTTTTTTTTACCTCGATCGTTTACATGTATGTGCCCCCCCCCCCCCCCAACATCAAACCCTGGCTATGTGCCTGTCGGGGGGGGGGCTCGGAGTTAGGAGGGCTTGTCATCAAGTAAGCTATTAGTAATGAGGATTTATGCCTCATAAAAGGGCACTAATATAGCACATCGACACGGTTTTGATCCTGGGGGCTCACAGTAACGAGGCCATTGCTAAGCCACCGAATCATGGCTGTACACCGCGGGGGCTAGGGTACGTCGCCGCCCCCACAAATAAAAAAAGACAAAGAAAATGCAATAAATTGTCAATAATTCATTGCATAATCCCCCGGTCCCCCAAAGGAAAAATTCCTCTTTAGGGCCATGCAATATTGGTAAAGGCAGGCCCACGTAGAAGATTTTTTTTTAATTTTGGGGATCGGGGCGAAACGCAATGAATTATTAATAATTTATTGCACTTTCTTTGCTTTTTTTGTATTTGTGGGGAAGGCGACGTACTCTAGCCCCCTTTGCGTACAGTCATGATTCATTGGCTAAGCAATGGCCTCGTTAATTTGAGCCCCCCCCCCCCCAGGATCAAAACCGTGTCGATGTGCTATATTAGTGCCCTTTTATGAGGCATTAATCCTTATCACTGTCAATTATGATTTAAGGACGTAGGTCCCCTAGTGGATGAGCATAGTAGCACACACATGCTTTAGCAGTCACCCAAAACAAACAATCAAAATTATTATTCAGTAAAATCTGAGAATGTATACTATTATCTAGATCTATTAGGAATAAATCATTGTCAAAATCATTCCATAAATTGGGGGGAAATAATTATTCCACCATTATGACCAACAGTGTATATATCTCACACACACAAATGTTTATATATATATATATATATATATATATATATATATATATATAGGCCTATGCATATAAATCAACATGTGTACTCATAAACACACACGTCGTACATATAAACTTTAAGGATATATATTCTTTTTTTTCTCAATTAGTTTCCTTACTGTTTCAAACAATTGTTTTCTCATTACACTTGTTAGGGATTTACGTCTTGATGCATGTCAACCACAATCAGTTGTTTGTCCCAGCCCAATTTCTCACTTAAAATGCCGACGCTTGCTTACAAATGAACATTCGCTTCATGTTTAAAAAAAATAGTGTTTTACTTCAAGTAATTACCTATCCATAAACAGGCAAATGAACTGTTATGCGGTTGTAAGATTAAGCAGACTATATTTATTAGCAACAGTGCCATCCAAGCTCATTACGTGGGGTAGTTCTAGATTTTCACCATGTTAACGAGAGCTTTACATGTATTATTTATGATTATATAATGTTAAAGAAAAGATAGTCATTACTTTGTATCACAAAATCAATGGTGAAAATTCGAGTACTGCGATAAAGGGGAATATCTAAAATACTTTATTATGACTACATCTACTTTTTTTCTCTTCTCTCCCCCCCCCCCCCCCCCCCCCCCCCTCCTTTGCTTTTTTCTCATTGCACTCTTCTCTCCCGTGTCATGTTGTCATGTAGGCCACGGATGGCCAACCTTTTAAAGCTCGCGGGCCACAGCTAACGATTGGCATAACTTGGCGGGCCGTAGCTAGTCTCCCCCCTCCCCCACACACACACTCATGCAATACGTGTACACACCTGAAATTCTGCAAAAACAAACAAGCAAACAACAAGATCAGTGAGAAAAACAAATCAGGCTTATATTTAGTGTGATTTCTGTGGCTTGCACTTTTCTACTATGTTGTTAACCTCCATTACATACTCTGGTGAAAATGAGGTAAAGTGTTCCACCTTTCTCTTCTATGAAGAAATACTTTAGAGACCAATCTGATTTAAAGTTTCTGCCTTCATCAGAAACTCTCCTTTTCTTCGCAGGTCTCGAGGTCGTTGCCATGTTGGTTGTTATTTCAATCAAAATCAAGGACACAGCAGAAAGAATATCCTAAATGTATTACTTGTACACTGTACATCTAATTGAACGCGGTGTAGAGGGAAGGGGACTGACTATAAAGTTTACGATTAAGATTCATGAGAAAATTGTACGGCGGGAGAAAAGAGTTGTAAGTTTGAAAACAAGTATGGCATTTCAAACATTATTTCTCGATTCACAACAGTTGTTACTGCGTGCGGAAATTACAAACTGAAATTTACACGGTGAGTGATATTAATGCGGGTATAAATGTCATTAATATAATATAATGAGAGGGAATTTGAGGAGTCAGTGTATCACAACAGTTGTTACTGCGTGCGGAAATTACAAACTGAAATTTACACGGCGAGTGATATTAATGCGGGTATTAATGTCGTTAATATAATGTAATGAGAGGGAATTTGAGGAGTCAGTGTATCACCAAGTAACGAGTCAATGCGTTGTGAAAGATGAAATCAAATTATGGAAATATTAGAGATAGCTGCGTGTAAATGTTTCACCCTACTTCATCGCTGCTATATGTGGCTGCATTTCATTTATGAAGTATTTTTTCACTGCTCCGCGGGCCGCACCAGAAGAGCTCGCGGGCCGCATGCGGCCCGCGGGCCGTGGGTTGGCCACCCGTGATAAATTATTATTGTAGGCATATCAGACTGCATTGGAAATGCTGAGAAATATGCATTACTTCTATATTTTCTCTATCTCTGACCCCCAAAAAAGTGGATACAGAAAAAAAAGGAATTACATAAATTACAGAGACGGCAGTATGATCTTCCAAATAAAAGGAGACAATATTAGGATTCATTCAAAAATATGGAGCATTTCGATAAACCTTTTATTTGAATTAGCTTTGATTAAACCCATACGACTGACTTCTACTTTATCGTAAATATTTGAAAATATTTGTACAGAACTTATGATTCCGAGTAGTTAGTATTTAGATATTAAAGAGATATTTATTATTTAATTTGCTCTTGCATTTGAATATGAGAGTAGAAATCAGCGCAGCTAACGTGAACATGCACACGTACACACAACCAGGCGCGTACGCAGGATTTTTTCAAGGGGGGGGGGGGTTAACATTTATAAATCGGGCCGAAAATTTCGCAACGACTCAGCCAGCCGCTGGATAAGCGGGAGGGGGGGTAAGAGGACACTTTTTTTTTTTTTTTGGTCTCGAAATTTGAAAATTTGACATTTTGAAATAAATTAAAAAAAAAAAAAAAATCCAAAGGGGGGGGGGGGGGTTTAGGGGGTTTTGACGGGGGTTTACACACAGAAAAATACCAAAGGGGGTTAACCCCCCACCCCCCCCCCCCCCCTGTGTACGCGCCTGCACACAACAAACACACATCGACCAAACATTTCCAGGGGGTGTTTCATGAACTAAAATTGATTTCGATTTAAAAAAAAAAAAAAAAAAAGTGTTAAGGCCGAATCAGTTTTAGCCTACAATTGATACTTGTGAGCCGTTTCGTCATATCAATTTAAAGGCTTTATAAAACACCCACTGAATATCATTATACGTACGCACATAAATGTTTAAATACATGCTACTTATTGACGTGCTTACTTTCTTGATTAACTCTTTGAAATCAGCAAAACTGCAGACATCATCAAGAGTGATTTCCCGTGCTGGATCAGAGCCTTTGCGACGGTCGAAAACGTACACAGTTGGCGATGAGCTCGCCATGGTCGTCGCGAAGTTGTTCTTTGCAAATTGTATAGCGATATAATATTAATATTAAGCGATCTTGATCTCTCGCTCTCTCTATATACTAGTCCACTGCATGCCTTGACTGTTTTCGTGTCGCGCGCCCATTCAGCTGAGAAAATAACACACCCTCAACGCTAAATCAGAGACTGCCCTTGCCTTTCTCGGCACATCTACGAGGAAGTCGTGAATATGCATGCCCACGTACATGCAGGGGCGGATCTAGCTTTTTGCTAAGGGGGGGGTTGACCAAAATAATGACGATGCGGAGCATCGTCCACGAGCCGCAAAGCGGCGATCCGATTTTTTGGGGGGTGTTTATTTGAACCCCGTAAGTGATGTTTTCCTGGCATCTATTAACACAATGGAGACCATAAAAAGCAGTGCATGATAACGTCTTTTTAAATCAAGTAACAGTTTAATACATAGTTATATCCAGAGTTATCATGTGTTTGGTTAAGTTACCAGATGAGTTGAATATCTTCTCACAATATTTGCACTTGAAAGGGTTTCTCTCCGGCGTGCGTTCTTTTTTCTTTCTTTTTTTTATTTTTTTTTTTATTTTTTTTTCCTTTTTTTTTTTTTTTTTTTTTTTTTGGGGTCGCCCAAGGGGGGGGTTGCAACCCCCCCAACCCCCCCCCCCCCCTGGATCCGCCACTGGTACATGTACTTATACGGGACTTATACATGTGCCCGAGGAGAAAGGAGTGCAATTAGCCACACGGCTAGTGTTTGTATATTGAATATCCTAGATGTAAAAGATGAAATAAAGTTTCATAATATACAACTTAGTTTCACAAATATGGCACTACCCCCGAGAATACACCCGCCGTAGAAAGGGCGAGAATGAAGGTAGCCTCTAACTTGGCACATTTTAGCTTCCTAAGATTCACACATATCAATTCAACTTCTTTTCGGTGAATTTTCTTTGGAGTATAAAGGGAGGTGATGTTTTGAACACGTAAAACACGGAAAACACGTATACTCCAAAGAAAATGACTGAAAAGAAGTTGAATTGATATGTGTGAATCTTAGGAAGCTAAAATGTGCCAAGTTAGAGGCTACCTTCATTCTCGCCCTTTCTACGGCGGGTGTATTCTCGGGGGTAGTGCCAGTGGCGGATACAGAGGGGGGGGGTGCCTGGGGGTCCGACCCCCCCCCCTCCTGGCCTAAAAAAAAGGAAAAAAAGCAGGGGAGAAAGAAGGGAAAAAAGAAGGGAAAAAAAGAAGGAAAAAAAAGGGGGAAAAAAAAGGAAATAAAAAGGGGAAAGATATCGAAGGTATCAAAATATGCTCATCTGATCGAAATTAAATGCCTAAAACCCGTTGCCTTCCAGTGGCTCTGCCCCCTGGACCCCACCTAGGGCCTTAAGGCGGACGGCTGGGTGCTAATCTGACCGTAATGTAATGCTTAAAACCCCTGAGCTTCTGGGGTCTCGGCCCCCTGGACCCAACACCAATTTGTGTCCTGCCAGTGTCACAAATAAGGTATCAAAATCATCTGACGATAATTTAATGTATGACACCCCGTTATATATTGCCCATAACCCCTGAGCCTCCGGGGGCTCCGCCCCCTGGAACCCCACGCCAATTCGTGACCTGCCAGTGTCACAAATAGGGTATAAAATATGCTCATATGACGATAATTTAATGTATAAAGATCCTGAGCTTCTGAGGGCTCCGCCCCCTGGACCGAACACCTTTTGTGCCCTGCCAGTATCACAGATAATTTAATGTATGACACCCCGTTATATATTGCCCATAACCCATAAGACTCCGGGGGCTCCGCCCCCTGGAACCCCACGCCAATTCGTGACCTGCCAGTGTCACAAATACGATATAGAATATGCTAATTTGACTCTTAATTGCCCAAAACCCCTGAGCTTTCGGGGCGCCGCCCCCTGGACCCCACGCCATTTCATGACCTGCCAGTACAGATAAGGTATGAAATTTTGCTCATATGACGATAATTTAATGTATAAAATCCCTGAGCTTTTGGGGGCTCCGCCCCCTCGATCCAACGCCGATTCGTGACCTGCCAGTACAGATAAGGTATAAAAATATGCTCATCTGACCGTTATTTATTGCCCAAAACCCCTGATCTTCCTGGGGCTCTGCCCCCTTCACCCCACACCGATTCGTGACCTGCCTGTGTCACAAATAAGGTATAAAATTATGCTCATCCGACAATAATTTGATGTATAAAACCCCTGAGCTTCTGAGGGCTCCGCGCTGGGGAAAAAATGTGGAAAAACACGTTAATTTTACCTCGAAAATTTGAAAAAAATCGCACCCCCCCCCCCCCCCTGTTGTCAAGGGGGGGAGGGGTGCGATTTTTTAAATTTTCGAGGTAAAATTAACGTGTTTGACAACAGGGGGGGTGCGATTTTTCAAATTTTCGAGGGCCAAAAAAATTAGTACTCACTACCCCCCTGTGTGGGATGTGTGTAAGGGAGGAGGACATAGATGATTGAAGAATAACAAATTTGTAAAAAAAGATAGGGCAGAATCTGAACTACTATACATGTAGCTAGCTACCCGCTCCGCTAGGTGCCTATAGTCTCAGTGGTATACATGTGTGAGTCCAAAGAAAGTTTACACCTAGAAAATTGCTAATTATTCTAAAATCATTTATGAAAAGTAAATTATTATACATCTTTCGAAAGAGTGTTTTATCCCGTATCATTTCGTAAAATTTAGTGTGGTTTGTGGCCACGCTTGGATGAACGGGAGACACTAGTGTTTAAGAGAGTGCAAAAATCGTAATGCCTGTGTGATGTTTGAACAATACATTTGGGATTTTGGTATTAATTCGGTCTTTGCACTGCAGGCACGTAGCCACGGGGGGGGGGCACGGGGGCACGTGCCCCCCCCCCCCCAAAAAAAAAAATTAAAAAAAATTAAAAAAAAATAAAAAAAAAATTCCAAGATCGGTTGAACTTTTTTAGACCCCTTTTTTTTTTACCTCGATCGATTACATGTATGTGCCCCCCCCAAAAAAAAAACACGTCAAACTCTGGCTACGTGCCTGCTTTGCAGATCCAAATAATATCCTTAACAAAATTAATCATGCCACATGTATCAAAGCACACGCAGAGTCACTCTGGGTCAGTCACTTTTTTTAAAAGTTTTTTTTTTATAGTAATTTTGTTTTATTCCTCCAAATGTGTAATACATGTACAAACATACAATTGAATGAAATAAATAAACGTTTTCAATTTAAATTGCTCATACGTAAACATAATCAAAAACAAACTCATTTTCAGTATATAAAACTGAGTAACAATAATTGAAGTAAACTAAAAGTACATAAACATAACTTATAAATAAATTTTACATATTAATCACTTATATAAACAAAAATATGACAAAACTGAAGGTTATTTTACTGGTACCCCAAGCTCCCCCTTTCCTCACACAAATACACACACACACACACACGCACACACACACATACTACTCACTCAGTGGATGTCTGCTAACATTCTCAACTCAAGAAAAATATACTAAATAAGTAAGTAATTAACCGGGCTGCAAAACACAGTTACATTCTAACAAGCTCATGATGGAGAGGAAAACAAATCTGAATTAATACTAAGCTGCTCCCAATTTAAAAAACGTAATCCAGCTTTCCCATTCTAATGGCTATTTTCTTTTCCTCATCCTTATAAGTGAAATAGTTTCTTCACCTTTTCTAAAGTTGGTACCTGCCCCCCCCCCCCCGATCTTGACATAAATATAACATACTTCACCATGAAAATTAAAGTAATACAGATTTGTATTCTATAAGAACTACCTGTCAACCTATATCTCGCCATTCTAAATCTTTAATTTCATCTAAACTCAAAAAGTCACACACACACACACACATACAAACGCGCAAAATGCCGTGGTTTGGTGCCCTTGGTTAATAAAAATATAGAATTCCCGCCGTTCGAACGGTTGGTTAAAAGTTTTGATCATGTGACATGAAATGAGCCAATAGACAACGAGAACCACACGAGAACCACACGTCGCAGTTTGCAAATAATTTCATCCCGGGATATCATCATGGAGTAGTAGTCTTAAGGCGGTTATCATGGAGTATTCGAAGGGCTAGTTAACGTGTTTAAAGCTAAGCTAAACGAATATTTACTATACCATTCTACTGATGAACTTTTTATAATCCATCTGAAGCAGTAACAATTTCCACAATATTTTTAACAATGCAGTAAAGTCGCCTAAACTTGCCCGTTATTCTCTCTCAGATTGTCAATCTCATTTCTTTTCTGGCTATATCCATACACTTGATGTTTTTTTTTCTACGGTGCCTTGCTCACTAATTTGACAAATACGCATTTTAACCAGGTGAATCTATGTATTGGTGCTAATGTATATGTATACAAATTTCCTAATTATACCATTGTGTTTTAAATACCCGTCTAAATTACGTCTTTCTCTATACTGCCTTACAGTTTTTCGTCCACAACACTGGCGTAGGAACCGGGGTGGCGGGAATATCCTCCTCCCCCCCCCCCCCCCCCCAAAAAAAAAAAACTTTTTATGGCTCAAAACCCCTTATTTTGTAATTGTTTTAAAATTAGCGCGATCTAAGCCCCCCCCCCCCCCCCCCCCCCCCCCCCCCCCCCACTCTGGGGTCGGAATGACCGCATGCGTGTTACCAAAATGTCCGGTAAAGGGGTACTTTTCACGCACCAAAGTCCGGTTCGTACATACACAAAATTGACTTTACACCCCGGACATAGGGGGTGTTTTCAAAAGGAGGGAACACGCATATGCGTACCCTAAATAACACTGAGTGTGGGCCGGGATCTAAGGTCAGCTGTAGCAGTATGGTCCCGTAACTCGCTGCGCTGTTGATTCTCGCATCGAGTCTTCTGTGTGCGAAGTCGAAATTAGGTATTGTGTTACGCACTGTTGGCAAGTTGACCATGAATATAGTGGAATAAAAATAAGTATCACTTTAAAATAACTTGATACAGTAGATTGTCTTCAACCAGCCTCCACGTACGACTAATCTTTACAGAAGTTCGCAGCCACAGAAATAAATGAAATAACAGCGAGAAGGCAACAACCAACTAATAGTTTGAAAAGGGTCGATTGTCCTTTATTCAAAAAGATCAAAATAATCAATTCATTTGAAAATTGTAACATATTTACAAACAGTGCAAAAACAAAACTCGCTTGATAAACACAAAGGCTTCTCATTTAGCAAACATATTTACATCTTGGCTAAATCGAGTTTCCTTCGACGGTCTTACAAAATGTCGGACAAAATCATGCATTGCTTTTAAAAAGTACCAATATCAAATAGCACAAACAATCTTTGTTTAACCCTTTTGCCAAACTGCTGAAGAAAGGAGTTTCAGCCGCAGAATTAGAGCATTTATTCTAATAATTGTCCTCTTCTTAAAGAGCAGAATTAAAGACATTTGTTAATAACACACATTCACTAGTACTGAAAGTACATAAGGAGGCTGTTGGAAATGCAGATTAAACTTCAAATATCTAAACCAATTCTTCCTCAGTACAATCTCTTCATAATGTTCTATGACCTTGTATATCATTACTTTTCATCATCATCACCAAGATCATATTTGTCTTCATATCAACATCATCCATATCAAAATCTTCAGGTATAAACTCATGACATAGTATAGTACAAAAAATAATTATGCAATATTGAATGTAAGATGGTAGCCAATCGAAGAAAAAAAGGAGAGATAATAAAGTGAATAATATTATATCACTTAAATCATTATCAGCATCTTAGCTAGAGGATGGTGTTAGTGGGTCTAATGGCTCAGAGGATGGACCATGAGTGGTCTCCAAACTAGAAGGTCCTGGGTTCCAAATACAGTTTGTATGCCGGTGCTAATGGTGATGCCTTTAGTCTATATGACATGACTTTTAAAAAAGTTGCAAGATCTCTGGAAGTAGCTATGTATATGTTGGTATCAGTTATCACCCCTGGCTCTAAGTAGACATATCTGTTCAGAACCAAAAGGGTTTTAATTCTACAGGGGGTGTTTCACAAAGATCCTAAATCAAACTTAACTCTAAGTTAGACTTAAATATTATGGAGAGCCATTTGTAGCCTTAAAATAAAATATGTTCAAAGCGAAAATTCAAGTATTTTACACTTCTTATAAATTCCACATCAAGAACATGAATTCTCCTTGATAATAGAAAATTATGAATGATTTGAATCAACATTTTATGCCTCTTAAAAAAGCTTTTACAAAATAATTTCAAAGATGCTAACGGCTTTCCATAATTTTTAAGTCCAACTTAGAGATAAGTTCAACTTAGGATCTTTGTGAAACACCCTCCAGGTGTTTAAGGTATAGAAGTCAACACCCTGATGATATCTAACTTCCTGATATATAAGCGTCTTCTCTCTCTCTCCGACTCCTAAGATAATTATAGCTCTACTGTCTATAATCGCATTTCTACATTTCAACTGTTGGAAAACAAATATAAAAAAAAAGAAATACAGAATAGGCAAAAGGTACCAAAAGTTAGTGCAGCCCAGTTTGGTAGTAATCTTTCATCATATGAATAAAAGAAGGATAGATATATATATATATATATATATACACATATATTTAAATTGTTCATGAAAAAAATGAAAATAAAGAAACATACTGAAGGCCTCACTACACAGAGCCAACTGCATGATAAGTGATTGTGGATTGACTATCACCTGCCTCTCAAGGACAGGTGGACCTTCTATACAGGTCACAAGATAACGTTACATATGTAATGATATATTTATTCTGCCGAGAGCAATAAAATGAAATAATGCCCTTTTGGCTCTCAGCAGACGTTTTGATGGAGGAAAACAAATTGCGGTGTCAGGTACTGGTAATACATGTATGGAAGACACAGGTTTCTAGTCTTTTTGACCAATAATACTACAAGTTTCAGTAATGGAAAAAAATAAAAAGTAAACACATATAAAGTTTAAACACAGACCAGAGCATAACAAGTTAGATAGAGACATAGCAACCAAAGGCACATATGCATTGGCTCATTACACTGTGTTGCCGTCCTTGTGGATCCAAACAGACAATATCTGGAAAATACTGATTTGCTTCATTCAATGGCAGTTTTCAATAGACAAATAGCAAATTTACAAACATTTACATCTATAAAATTACCTCAGAGTAGATATTGTAGGTTTGCCTCTCTTACGCATGTTCATAGGTTATTGTCATTCTTTACACAGATTCCAACCATTCATATTAAAGACGCATAGAACAGGGCTCTCATGGGGAATTTGATGCCAATCTGGTGTTTACTCAATAACAGGTGCTGTCAATCACCAGGATTAGCATTCAGTTTTATGTAATGCTCTGCATTTTTCACCCCCCCCCCCCCCCCCACATGGTAAAGTCATTTTCTTACATTTCTCTCACCCAAGACTCGCTGAGAGACTAGGGGGATATTTCATGATGGGAGTATTAAGTATTCTCAATAAACTCTTCGATTACTTTTTCCTTCCATACATGCCAACATTTGAAAATCAGAAATCTGTACAAATTATGCTATTTTCAAAAAAAAGAGGAACAATCCTAACTCTCCTATTCAATACTACAGACAAATTTGTACAGGAAGAGGAACACCTGCATTAAAATGATAATTATCTTCTCCCAAAAAGAGGAATGTTCCTCTTTAATCTGAACAGTTGGCATGTATGTCCTTCAATATCACTGTTCTCTATTTCCTGTTTCTTTTCTGTGAAGCACCGGTGCACTTCCTGTGTGGGTGTGTATCGGGTTTTTACAGACGTGTATCAATCAGATATGATTATTTACGTCTGGGGACCGACCTGTAAACATCACCATTCGAAAGACGTGACTCGGTATCGAACCTGCATCCTCTGCTGAATCAGTTTGTAACTTCCATTGTTAGCTGGATTACAGGCGCACCCCACAACACCCTTGCTTGTCCTCTACTTTTAAATGTTTTTTTATAAATTGAGATTGTTTGTATTTTAAAGAAAAGGTTTGTATATCTTTGTAAACCATCGACCATCGATGAGAACCTACTGAACAGGAATTAATTTCTTTTTGGCTATCATCAGGCACTAGTCGGTGTCATTCTTACTTCCTTTGTCTCTGCACGATTTTGTTCTTGTTTCACTATGCCTGGAAATATAAAATAAACTTAATAAATAAAGAGTCACATTAACAATGAATCACAAAGTAACCACTATCTTTGGTGAGGCAGTTGGTGCACAGTAATAATATCAATCACATCGCTGAATACACAAGCCGATTAATCAATGTGCATTAATTTACATGTGACTTACGTAATACCATACAATCTACACATCTTTTCAAACATTTTTTTTACAACAAATAAATGTTTACATAACACAAAAATCCAAGAGGAAATTGGCACAAACTGGCAATCGCAGTTGTGATAAAGTACATGAGGGAAAAAGTAAGATTTTTTCACACCTTTTTTTTTTTCATTCTAGAATTTCACAAGATTTTCAATTGTAAGTGTCTACTAGGAACAATATTGCAAGTAAAAAATAGTTGTTTATTATGTCATACTCAAAAGTCCACTTGTTTGGTGGATGATAAAACTGACAATAAATTCATATCTTATCATTGTTCTACAACTGTAACTTTCCCCATGTTAGATAATCCTTTCTAATTATTGTAGACTTCCTAAAAATGTTTCACTTTGATATATACACAGATAAGGCACTATCAAATCATCCCTATGACCCCATCATTCAGTGAAAGTACATAAAACAGAAGCATGCATGGAGGTTAAACAGATAAAGTGGGATTTACAGTTACATCACACATACACACACAAATTCTATCATGCTTAAAAAGATGTATTTCAAAGAAATAAAACAAAACAAAGAAACAAGAAGATAAAGAAAGAGAGCAAGAGAGATAAAGAGAGAGAAAAAAATGGCTCTCATTTAAAATACATTTGTAGTTTATAGAATGGATGAAGAAAATGAGGTAAGAATGGCATTATTCTATTTATTTTTCCACATTTCTGAATACATCATCATACATCAGAACAACATTCAGAACAAGATGGCTGCCAAGGGTTTGCTTGGAGAATGACAAGCATTTGCAGATATCTAGAAAGATCACTAAAGGACAGCGTCTGCTCGGAGCTAGAACGTTATTATCTTATACAAATCAACATACAGATGGTATGTTCAAAACTCTTACAAGGATTTGGGTTTCCATAACAAATCTTATATACAATATGACAGCACACAAATGACATTTACTGTTCTTCATTTAGGTATTGACGTATCTACATTGGCAGTGTGGAATGTTATGGGGGGGGTGTGTGGTTTGAAGGTAGGCAGCACACATCACAGCTGCAGGAGGGGTTCTAGGGTTTCCTTCGTTTCGTTCTAGGACTCTCTGGCACAGAGGGTGCTGACCGTCTCATCGTTCCTCTGGAAGTGGACTGCCCTCTTGAGTTGGAAGATGCGGTGGACATTGGAATCGGAGAATGATCTGTGCTTGAAGCTTCAGCCAATTCTGTGATCGTGGAAGAACGGGTAGAGACACAGAAATAATAACAATATTCACCAAGTCTGTTAAGCCAAGGATAATCAACATAATCACTTGGCATAGTTAGCTTAATTCCCTACTCAGCATCGACTATAGCAAATATACTTACAAAATAAAATGATCACTGAATGTTTTACTTACATGTTCCAAATTGATAATGCATTGATAAAATTAGGTTTTATATACTTCAAGACCACACCCGTCATGCTGGGAGAAAGATCTGGGAATATGATTCCTGTAGCTTAATCTTTGTGACCACAAACCTTCCTTAAAACATCCGTAATTAGCAAACTTCCAATAAATGTTTCCATTAAATGGTTAAAAATTTGATTCCAGCAATTTGCCTCAATAAGACACTAAACTTTGGGAAATTTGGCATGTGACTGTTGCCATTTCTACAGTTAAGTGTATGAGCAAGTACTTAGTGCACTCAATTCCGGAATTTTTAAGAATGCGCAGGAGTAATGAACCACCTCCATCACTTTGGTGTGCAAATTTGGATCTAACCACATTGAACAAAAATCTGCCCAAATCTTAGGTCATTTATGACATAATAATAGGAATAATAATATCGGATCTTTTAATAGCTAACTGCATATCCGTCATGCAAGGTGCTCCATTATTACCTGGCTCTGCTAGGCTGCCGTTTTGGTGCTCACAACATTCATTAAAATATCTCTACCAGGGGGGTGTTTCATAAAGCTGTTCGTAAAGTTACGCATAGCTTTACGAACGACTTGTATATGGAGTGCCAGATAGGATGCCCAAAGTTTTTCCTGAAATTTCCAATAACCTCAAAGCAAAAAATATACTTTGCATTAAAAATGTTTATTATAATAATAATGGTAATCTACATCTGCACAGTTCAACTTTAGTTGATGCAGTTAATAGCGATTGAGCATCCCATTTGGCTTTTCATATACAAGTCGTTCGTAAAGTCATGCGTAACTTTACGAACAGATTTATGAAACACCCCCCTGTACACATTTAACACCTGAGTGGAGAGTGACAAATGTAGATTAACAGCATGCCAAAGGATATCAGTGATGCGGCGGGACTTGAACCTTACGTGGACCATGTGATCCATAGTCGTATCCATTAGACCACGACACCTCTACGGCGCATGCTTACAAATTCTGGACATGCACCAACTAGTAACTGATTTTAACTCTGAATGGTAGGGACTTACTGAGTTTCTGGTTGATAAGGGCAAGCTGTTCTTCATCCTCCTGGCAATCCCGTTGCTTGGTAACCATATCCCCTGATCTTAGCGCTGCCTCCTGGACCTTATACTCTACCTGAGCCTGCTCACGACGTTTTATGGCATGTATGATCTGCTCCAGGATTGCTGTATTACATTAAAGGAATCGTTTAACAATGTTGAATCTGAGATGCACGGCCATACGTGTTATCAGTGTCTGTGAAATGGTGTAATATTGAAGCCCTAAAAAAATTGCACTTCAAAATGATCAAGAAGTGCCTCAAAAAAGTAAAAACCTTTGAGTGACCGGTTTTACCATACTCGTTTTCTCCAATAAACTGTAGTTATGAAAACCGTTTGGCAAACGCAAAATTTGATTTCGATTTTCAATCACAAATATCTTGATAATCAGACAGGCGATCGGCTTATAAAAGTCATGGGGTTCCTGACTGACCTAAAGGTTTATAATTATCATTGCTGCATGAGCTAAATCAAGGAACAAGGATCTAAGACAAAGTTACCGGATCCCTTTAAGATCAAAATTGTAAATTTGCTCACGATTCAAAATTCCTAAAGGATACTTAATGCAGATGGTACTGAATCTGAATCTGATTGAAATTGTGAATTAATTTGTAATCAAAATTTTTAATCACAAGAACTATAAGGAGTTGGTCATATAGGTCATATATGGGCATACTAGAGTCACATTATCAGTCCTGTAAAAAATGTAGAAAAACATAAATGCAGATAAACTATATTTTGTGAATAATTTTACGCTAAAACTAGTAGTCTTATCCTCATTGCTAACTATTTAGGACAAGGATTTTGCAAGTAAGCATGTCTGAGCCTGTCCTATCAAAGAGTTGCAACTGATCCACAATTATTGCAAATCTTCCAAACAATAACAAAGTTGAAATTGCCTGTCTCTCATCTACAATGTCGCAATTGATTTCAAACCCAAATTTAGTTTGCGAATCAAAGGCATGGGCCTAAGCCTCGTTAGACAGGTGATCCTGCCAAAAAGACAATTAATCGATCAGTTAAGACTGTACTCTCTCTGTGTCTATGATGACTCACCCATCTGTTTCTCCAGTGATTCTAACTGTTTGGGAGGAGGTTCCCCAAAGACGCATCCCCGAAGGTCTGAAGGACATCGGTTCTGAAATCCTCCAAACTTTCCGTTGCCACGGATACGGTTGCCGTCGCGGGTGAGAAGCGTGGGGCAGTGGATGTGCTTCACAATCTTGAGATGGGAGAAGGCAAACGACAATTATGGTATGAAACATGGTTTCTACTTTGAGATCCATAATATCTTTTTCTTCAATTCAAATGTACATGTATTCAGCTACAATCTTTCTTGTATTGTCTGCATGTTTGATGGAGCTAGGGTCTACAGAAAATGTCATCACCACAGAGCTGCCAACCTTGTGCGACCAAAAAAGAGGAACCATGATGGCAAAAGAAAAGGAATTCATTAAAAGGAAACTTACAACCACCCGCGACACACTTCCAATGCAAAAATTTCCATTCCTTATGCCGTTTTTTCCATACAAGCAGGTATTTTTTTTTGGGGGGGGGGGTTATTTTGATATTATCGGCATTTCATTCTTTTTGAGCCAATATTTTTCTCTTCAAGTATGTTTTCAAGTCTGTTTTAAATTTAGTTTTCTCTTGAATTTGTGATCAAATCAACATTTTAGGTCAGTTGTTTGATGTGTGGTACGTTAATAATTATTTTTTTTTAATTATATTAAAAAAAAAATTAAAAAAATTAAAAAACGTATTTTATGAAGAAAAAAGGTAGTACTGTAATTTGGAAGAAAAAACAGAGTAATTCCGGCAAGAACGGAATGGTTGGCAGCTCTGTTACCATATACTCTGAAGCATTTCAAAGTAAAGTCAGTACCATTTGCAGCACTGGAATAAGGTAACATGGGACAATTTTACAGTGATATCTTCAGAAATAACAGAGGCATTTTTTTTTCTTTTTCTTTCTTGCAAAGCGATGAGATTCCTTTGCCCTTAATACCACCCTAAACATCTCTATATATGAACTTACTGACTGTCTGTATGCTGTTGCGTCATCCAGAGTATCTAAGAGTACTGTATCTTGTAGCAAGAGACTGAAGGCTGTACAAACAAAATAGGGAATATATGAATTATATTGTAAAACAATGATTAAACAATTGTCATGGTATATGTAGACCCAGCTGCTCTGGACACACCCCCATATTAAAGCTCTAGAGAATTTGACTTCCATGATACATGACACATGCTTGGGTGAAAATTACTCTGCAGGCAATTACTAATATTTCTCAAATTCCCAAATTAAACTAAAAATCACTAAAAATCTGAGCCATTTGAGTTACAGGTAAATGTCATTCAGTAACCCTAACTCCTGTAGATAAAATAAGCTTTGCTACTGCTATCACTATAATGAATGCAACTGTTAATATATTTCTAATTCAAAAATAGTACACTTGATCAGCATCTATCTATCTCTAGGACTGGGTTGGTGTAGGGGGAGGCAAATGCATTCATCAACGTATTATATTCTGTTTTGTGCATAATTAATGTTTACATTATTGCAATGTCCCTGCTATTGAAATGATAATTTTTTTGGGGGGAGAGAGATTTCTTTTACAAAAAAAGACCATCTCCTGTGATCTCTACTCACCTATCCTACAATTTGCTTCATGACCTGTGAACTTTAAAAGGTGCCTTGCATACACAGGGTTGCCTGATGGGGTTTGACCATGCTTCATGGGTACTCTCTTGTGTGGTAGAGGCCTGTCAAAAAACACAAAAATATAGTGAACCAAAATCAAAAGGATGACTTTTGGGAGTAAAGCTTGTTCACATGACGAGGTAATGCCTCGGTCACATTTGCGGCCGCGGCCGTGGGGTCTAAAATATCTACGGCCAATAGCAATTATAGGGCCGTCACAACATTCCCGTGGTCACATACTGTAGCAGTCACATATGTATTGTTTGGGGAGCCGCACGGTGTATTTTAAATTTGTGGAGACAGAAAACCTGTGGCTGCAGTACAGCCTTTCCTTTCCTTTCCTTTTGTTTCCTTTCCTGACTGCAGATCAAATTATGGAGTAATTGATAATATCTTACACAGTCCAGAGTATATCCACTACAGCTTAATTCGCCAAGAGAAATAATGCATTATAACACCAGGTGACTTTAAAACACAAAGGTAAATGTTTTTGTATCAATAAAGTGAATATCTTGACACATAAGAATCGTAATTGTAAGTGCATGAACATTTCAATTTTGTCACTAGATTATAGAATCATCTCCGTGCATAATTGACAAGGTATTAGGAAAAACCTTCATCTATCCTACCGAAAGAGATCAAGAAGCACAGATTAAAACTAGACATTGTTTGCACTCACTTGTCCCACTCAGTTAGGCCTTTCTTGTAGATCGACTCGATAGGTAGAACCTGTTGGCGCCCTCTTGTGTTTGCAAAGACTTCCTTAGCTTTAGTGACTGTGGTGGTGAGGACGCAGTCCATATCTGAGGCCATATGCCATGATAACACATAGGCATCATTCTCTTCTTCTATCTCGACCAGGTGTGCTACCTATGAAGTATGGTGGAGTTAGAGAACGGATAAGTAAATATGTGGGACTACATACTGATAATTAGAACCATGTAACATCAAAGTCTATTCTAATCGTAGAAAATGCTTTCTTCTTGCTACTAAGACATGAAAGATGACTTGTCCATTGAAAATGATTCAGCTGTGTAAGGGATATAGTTCACAAATGGGCCCAGGGGCCTCAGTCAAATATAAATACTGTAAACGTGCGTGACCACGAAAACGCGTACAGAAGCCTCTATACTTCGCGTACCAGCATGTTACATGCTTGTTTATGACCGGGGTTAATGACAAAAAATACTCAAGGGGTTACAATTTTACAAAACCAGTACTTGTTTGGGAGTACACATTTGTGAAATACCCATTTAGGGTGTGAATTCAGGAAAAAACCACACGTAATCCTCATGTAGGGTGTATTTTGGCTTCAGACGAAACCATCGTTTAGGGGGTTAGGGGTGTCTGAAACAACTGTGGTCACGCACGCTTACAGTATTTCTACATGACTGAGACCCCTGGGCAAATTTGTGTCATTTAAAATGAAATTGTATTGATCTCCAAACCAAATATTTCTAGGAAAGAGTCATAGATACATGTATAACCCTTACTCATTATGGGGAGGGGTTGGAAGTTTGCACCCAGATAAATTTTGTTTTGTAATTTAAACCACCTATATTACAGCACCAATAGGAAGAATTGGAAAGGGCACAAAAAATCTCCAAGGCCAATGAGAGGGGCATTGAGGCCAATCAAAGGGGCATCCAAGGCCATGGCCTTGGTGGCCTTGGATTAATTTAAGGCCTGCACATGTCACACCTCTTTATCTGTAACATGTTGGGGCTAAGACCATTGGCAGAGGGAATCTAAGCCCCCCCCCCCCCCCCCCCCCCCCCTCATCCCTACTGGTTTATTGTCGTTTGGTCTACAACCAATTCATCTACTTTCCAATTAGTCTATTCCCATATGGTCAACACCCAGGCTGTCTGCTATCCAATTTTCATTAAACGATTATTAGAGCTTATGGCTGGTAGACGAAATGAGCATCAAACAAACTGGGAATTTAGACTGATTATTACACTAAATGTAGACTAATTGGAGATTGGACCAAACGGTCATTAGACCAAATGATAAGGAAGACAAAATGATTATTAGACCATGTGCATAGTAGACTGGCTGGGTGTAGACCATATGGGAGTAGACTAATTGGGTACTAGATGAACTGGTTGAAGATCAAACAGCTATTCACCTCTTCCCTTACACGGACATCAAAGGAGTAAAGATCAGTACGGGTCCAACAAAATTAACAGTTAGCTACTTAAATTCATAATATAAGTGTAAAATATAAATGAAAAAAGGTGCAAGACAAAAATCAGGAACTAGACATTGGTAGAGACTACATACCTTGCCAAGTATTTCACCATCCCGTGTCTCGTATCGCGGCATCCCGCATTTCCTTCTAGGTTTGTTCCTCGATTCTTCCATTGTTTTTTGAGTAGATATCATCATTTCTTCCGCTCCTTTTCTCTACAATATAAAACAGAAGCAAATCATTAAATAAGTTTCTTACTCCTCTAAATCTCATATTTATACAATTTGATGTTGTATGAAGAGTATTTGCTTTATTCGAGTGGCCATCTACCTAAATCTATGCTCTCAATCCCTTTCCAAATTTCTTTGTATTGTATTACTACTTCAGTTGTTATTTCCGTTGTTCCATCTGCCCATTTTAAAATTTGTTATATTTCAAAATGTGCCAACAGATTTTTTAGAAAATGTAAATGCGTATTCTCTAAGTATCTTGTACATAATAGTTTACTGCGTTTGAAGAACATTGTGTTCTCACCGTTGCTATCTGTGCCACCCGGACTCCAAAGATTCTCAACTCTCCACGTAACTTGATCTCATGCTTAGCAGCTTCCTCAGCAGATTCTGTCCAAAAAAGCACACAAGAAGTGAATAGAACACTAAATATGGAACTCATTATTTTGTCCCTATGGGTAGATTTTTAAAAATATTTTTAAAAAAGAGGAAAACAATATTTCTTCAAAATAATACAAACTTCTTACTCTAACAAAAGGTGTGACTCGCCCCGAGCCCCCATGTATTTTTTTCCCTGCGACATGTTAACAAGATACCTCCGGTCCCACGTTTTGTCCATGCATAAAACTACAGTTGTCAATGTCAATGATGTCAATGATGAGAAATTGTTAATGGAAAGTTCCATTCAAACGTTACAAACATTGGTCCCATTATAGAATCATTAACTCTGTAATATTGAATGACTACAAACACAATGGGGAGAGGGGGGTAATAGTCTGTTGAAGATTATTCTTTGGGTAGCTCTTTCCAGTGGTGGTAGTTCAGTGGTGATAGTTCCAGGGGAGGGGAAGGTTGTCCTAGTGCGTGTGTTTGGGGGGAATGGGCTACTGTAAGCAGATGGTCTGGATGGGGCTTTTCTTTATTCCTTGTCCTTGTCATTCCCTCTCTTCTCTCTCCAAGGAATCACATCTAGACCCTGTTTCATTCAAATTGATATCAATAACAAGTTACAAGCTACTGTTATAAGCTACTGAAATCAAGGCATCTGATTGGCTGAAAGCAAATTCATCATAGAAATTTAGCATTTGTTATAGATAAAAAGTTTTATAAAACGGGCACCCGACCCGCCTCCCTCCAATCATTTGAAAATATCCTAGACATGCCCCTGTGCTCGAGCCATTACCTTTGAACATCTGTAGAAGCTCCTGTTTCCCTTCAAACATTGATTTGTATGCCCTGATAGAAGCACTGAGTGTGTCTCTCTCCTTTGACAGCTGAGACATCCGCTGCTGCTTCTTGGCATCTGGGTACAAGAATATAATATAGTAATATAATGATAATAACGTTCAGTTTACCCAGGGTAGCCACTTCAGTTATGAAACTGCTCTTCAAGCGGGCCCTGCATAACATAATATGTTATTACTACCCTTCTCCAATCTAATATGCTGAGCACCTAGCTAGAAGGCAGAAGGTCCTAATGTTATAAGTCTTTGGTTCATGAGCACAATTTCATATTCTTAAGATCAAAACTCGACTTTTTGGGGGGAAGGGGTGGCATTTTCATTAAATAAGGAGTGCAATTTCAAAACCTTACAATCAAAACAAATAAATAGTTGAAGGACTAGCTTCATACAGTACTTCCATTAAATCATTCAACAAATAACTATATATCTAACTAATTTTCGAATTTGTGATTTTCAATGGTATATTGAAAATGTTACCAATGTAGACAAAACAGTCAAAACCATAAATATTCAACCACAAAGAAAAACAAGAGTTTTTCAGTTTTCACTGCGTCTGTACTAAAAACTACTACTAATGATAATACTACTACTACTTCTACTTTATAAAATAGAAGTAGTAGTAGCATTTCTTGTATTGTAATGAATACAATTTAATGATTAATTTAATTGTACACACAGGAAAGATGTGTAGTAAGTCATAAGTAGTGGTGTCAAAGTCTAGTGGATCAATCACTTGACTGAAAATGCAAAGGTCTTAGGTTCGATCCCTGGCATGGCACCATGTCCTTGAGCAAGGCATTTTATCTACATTGCTCCTCTCCACCCAGGTGTCAACTAGGTATCTGTCAGGATACGAATGTCAATGTGGTTGGATTGGCATTCGCAAAAAGGTGTCTAGCTGGAATGCTCCCCAGGGAGTGGAGAATGTAAACTGTAATGTGCAAAAATAGTAATTGAATCCTGTGACTGGGGTAAAAATAAAACTGTAAACATTTCGGTCAGGTAAAAGCGCTATAAAGAAACCAGTAATATTAATATAATTATTATTATTATACGAAAACAGTGGGTGTTTTGATATTAAAATTGTTCTCACCATTATAAAACAGAAATGGCTGGATGTACGGCTTCACTTGAGGCCCCTTGCTCTTCAATGTGAAGTGTAATTTGTACTCGCTTCCATCATGCCCTGGCGTATCCTCTTGAATTGAGATGTTCTGAAATGAAAAATAAAAGTGGAATTAATCAACCTGCTAATGACTTCAGAGGATAGGCCCTCCTTTGCCCTGCCCACTGAAGTTCAAAATCTGAAGATTGTATCTGTTCAAAGAATATTCATTATATGATAACTAATCGATAACAAAAGAATTATTTGGGGTTTATTTCTATTACAGGAGGAAAGTTCACCTATTTTGTGACCAAAACCTCTAAAACTGAACAGGAATCATTCACCAAACATACAGTTGTCTTGTTTGTAATTATCATTGGTTGGCAACTTCATAGGGGAGGGGGAGGAGGAAGGATAGGGGGAGAGGGAGGGAGAAGTGGATGAGTGGAAGGAGGGGGAGGAGGGAGAGGGGGAAGGAAGAGAGTGGGAAGGGAGAGAGGGGTGGAGAAGGAAGGGGCAAGGAGAAGGAGGGGAATGAGGAAGGGGAGGGGATGAAGGAAGGGTTAGAGGAAGGAGTTGTACTAGACTCACCTGTATGAAGCCAATGCCTTTATCCAGCGGGAACTGCATCATACTCTTATTGCCTTGGAGTTTTGGCAGCTCAGCTCCATTGTTGCCTTTCATATGGACTTCAATGTTACCCGTCAAATCTTTGCCGGTCAAATTCCCAAATTCATCCTACAAGTACCACAAAGAAACAATAAATGAAACACATGTATTGGTTAGCATCTAATAGTACTTTGGATAACCCTCAGTAATTTGCTTGTCAACTTCACATTTAGTTATATAAGCTCAATGACAAGGCAGTCCACAAAGCAAAGAAGGTAAAGTAAGTCCTCTCCGAGGAACTTGGTAATGAGGATTGATGTCTTACCAAACGTCATGAGCACATTGACTTAGATTTGGCCTCAAGCTTATGAGACCACTGCTCTATCACTAAGCCATTGCTCCCCTCATGTAACCAAAATCAATAGGCTTACCAAAAAAAGCCTGAATCAGACAGGTGCCAGGGCTTCAAATCAAACAAGATCATTTTATTTATGACATCCTTGTTTAAAGATGCTCATGCGTGGGTATATAGTCGTTCGTAAAGTAGGCAACTTGGCAATCACTACATAACACTTAACTGACGGGCATTACGCTCCTGTGCATACATCCGTGTGCTACCTCTATATACCCACGCATAAGAAACTTTAACCTGTTTGATCTAAATTTGATATAACACACATTTTCAATAGACTCTAGCCAGAGTTAACCTGGCTTAAATCTCAATGAGTTTACCCGAATACGGAGCAGCCTAGTCAGATGAAAGAAAAGACTTACCACGAGTTGTAGCTTGAGAGCTTTGATGAGAGTCCTGCTCTGTGCCCGCGGTGTATTGGAGACGGTAGGTGTGGGCGGGGCTATCTCTGGGATCAGTTTCACTGGTGGACCAGGCTGGATGTCAAACCCAATCTTTATGGGGTTAAGTCACAAATACAAACATTGGTATTGGGGATGAGGAACATCTTGCGTGATCTAAACAAGTCTATTGCATTGTAGACCGAGGCCAGTTTACTTGAAAGCCCCCTTATAGGGGTATAAATACCAAACACACATCACTATGCTGGAATTGAGGAATGATAACATCTTGTATGATTTCTAGAACTTGTGTGGATTACAGACTGTATCCAGTTTTCATAACAACCTTAACCCTATTCTTTTCAATTCAATTTTATTTCATTCAGTTAAAAAGACAACATTTCATAAAACAACCAGCTATATAACATAAAAAACACATTAAAAACATATTTGACATTTGGACATAAAATAAACTGTATAGGTTGCAACCTGAAAGGAAAAAAATAATCCTTATATAAAGGTTGACCCTTTTTTATAATAAAAAAATATGAAATATATCTGTTACTAAACATTATACTTTACACAAATCAAGACAATAAACATACATACAACAAACAAATAAAATTCTTACTAGGGGGAGGGGGTTAATTTAACACCCTCTGTACGAAACCCATGACTGCCGCACGACGGCAATGAGGCAATTCTTTAGTGTAGAAAATTCAGTGGAACAATTGTTGCCAGTGCATGTGTCGTAGTAACCTATCTTGATGGGGCTACCCTCCAATACACCCCCATGTTCCTCCCTATCCTTTTCCCTACTTACCGGTTCAGAATAGAGCATCTGATCATCCAGGGACGCTTGAAAGATGATCCAATGCATGCGTGCCTCTTGGGGTAGTTTTCGTTTTCTACAAAGTAAAAACAATAGATGGAGGTACTACGTTATCTATAGAAATTCTTAGTTTTCAGTTATTGTGTATATTGGTAGGGAAAATATGTGTACACCTCCAAGACTACTTTCCATTACCTTTCTCTCAAACTTACGGTCAAATTGTGGCCAAAAATGTTTTAATATATTGATATAAAGTGATAAATAGATAATAATTGATAAAAAAGTGATATGTAGATAATACAAAGGTACATATCACAAAAATGTTCATTTTGTGTTTCTCACCTGCAGTAGAAATGTCCTTCCCTATCCTCCTCACTGGGCTTGTCCATGTCTGTAATTAGCGCCCTCTGTGGCGGCGGACCAGAGTGTTGATCGTTGGTAGCGGACTTCCACAACCTCATGGAGATCTTCTTGTGAGGAATGTTGGTCATGGTGCTCTCGTCAGCAGCAATTACAGAGATGTCAAAATCTGGGAGATCAAGTTTTTGATTTGTTACAGTTAGGTTGAGGAAACTGAATTGAGTATAACACAGTTTACAACCTGCTATTTCTGTACAGCAAATAAAAGTTCATCATCATTATGATTGCTTTCCTTACCATCTTGATGTGCTTTTGACCATCATCATCATCATCATCATCGTCGTCATCGTCATCAACATCATCATCATCATCATCATCATCATCATCATCATCATCATCATCAACATCGTCACTATCATTATCATCGTCATCATCAACATCGTCACTATCATTATCATCGTCATCATCAACATCGTCACTATCATTATCATCATCATCATCATCATCGTCATCGTCATCAACATCATCAACATCATCATCATCCTCATCATCAACATCGTCACTATCATTATCATCGTCATCATCAACATCGTCACTATCATTATCATCCCAATCATCATCGTCGTCGTCATCGTCATCATCATCATCATCATCATCCTCGTCGCCGTTGTCATTATGCTCATCCCCTATACTAACCTGGAAAAGGATCCCCAGCAATGTAGACACTCCCCTTTTTGTAGTCCACCTGAAGTTGTTGTGCCTTCTTGGGATCTGGCCTGAGTTGGACAGCGAGTCCAGAACTCATTAGGGATGACCTTCCAATGGACATCTTTGCATGTAGCATGTACTTTCCACTTTTAGGTAACAAGATAACAGAAACAGATGGGATGTTTATTTCCAATTCATCTTAAATCCATCATAAAAAGAATCTGCATAATTGGACCATTGTGCATCATGTGATGAAATACAATTCACAAGGGCTTCATGCAAATGAGCAAGTTGCCATCACTGGTCAAATCCCTCCTGTTTCAAAGTTTAATTTCTGACTCATTTTTCATTCACACATAGATCATGCAAACAATCTCAAACACTAGCAGATTAAGCTTTCTTAAAAAGCAGATTTGTGTTGTGCTTTTGAGTGGTCTGCGAACATTGTGCATAATTCATTTTTTAGCACAACTTCCATCAAAGTTAATCATCAAATCATGACAGTTCGCGTTGAAGGCTGAAATCCACCACTCTACTTGATAGATAACATGAATCTACTCACCAGGGACCGGATAAGGTAAGCTTCCCAAAGGTAACTTGACCATCACTGAATGGCCTTGCCATCAGTCGTGCAGTTGATGATACCTACATGCAAACAAAATAGAGAATGGTAACGCGACTTGATACATACATACATACATATATATACAACCATGAAAAGGACAAACAGCAACATCAAAAACCTCTATATTTCATAGAACTAAAATAAGGCAGTTTAATTAATGTTTCCACCCATCCTATTGATCAAGAACTGACAGAATGTTTTATAAATTACAAGCACTTTTCAATTTGTATTTTGAGAGTCGTATGGAAATGTTATGGTATAGTGGTTCATTCATTCGGCTCTCAATCCAAGGGATTAGGGTTCAATTCCCTGCCTGGCACTAGCTTACATCCTTTGGCAGATATTAATCACTATTTGCCTCTCTCCATCAAGTGTAATTGGGTACCTGTTATGCTAGAGCACTACTTATCTAGCTGCCCAGCTATGACTGGGGTAATAATATTAAAATGCTGTTATCAAGTGTAATTCTCGCTACCCCAAATAGCGATTCTGCCGAGATCCGGGGAAAATCCTGAAAACGCGCATTGCATTATGGGATAGCTTTTCGACATTACAGCTTCCTGTGCAGGCGTTCGTGATCACAACCCTCTCTTTCACGGTAGAGTTTAACGGCCTTTTGTGCTAAAGTCACTAATTCTGCCCGAAGCTTTCCATTGCATATTATAATCTGTACAAATTACACTGATTGGCATCGATTTTAGCGTGCGTGAAAACTCTGCACAGCGAACACAGGCGCTAGCGCCAGCGGGATGGGACTCTATACCGGAAGTTGTAGTGACGACCCGAGAGAGTGAAAATTACCTCGTCTCGCGAATTTCGAGATTTTCGTACCTATTTAGGGTAGCGAGAATTGGGTACCTGTTATGCTAGAGCACTACTTATCTAGCTGCCCAGCTATGACTGGGGTAATAATATTAAAGCGCCAGGAGCGTCACAGTGACGAACATGTGCGCTCTATAAGAAGCTACAATTTTTATTCTATTATTATAACAGTGATCTACAATATGAGATGTGGATCTTACGGCCAAAAATATTAGGAACCACTGATTCATTGAAAATTTCACATTCATCTAAGAAATTTGAGAAAATGATCACAATTGGTGAAATGCAACACTAACCTTTAATGTCTTGTCATATTGCAGTGAGATAGTTGTGTTGGCATCAGAGATATGATTGCCAGATTCATCACAAACTTTAAAGCCCAACGGATTGCTGATCTCGGCGCCGTCATATGCTATCAGTGTCTAAAGAGTAAATGAACGTATATATATATATATATATATATATATATATATATTAGGATTCATTGTCATCATTTAATCTTTCTCAGCTTTGTCAATGTCCTCATACTACAAGATCACCATGAAAAACATTATTAACATAATCATCTATTGCACCACCAACATCGTACAATCATGCATCTCTGCAACACTTCAAGCACCACACACAAATATCTCCATCACTTCCATTGTCCAAAACATATTTCTTAGCACCTTCAACTCCCTGTATAAACCAATGCTCCTACACAACTTCCAAATTTCCAAGACAGCAGCCAAACTTTCACCAACCAGGTTTTCTGACAGATACTCCACAGAAATTGTTCCAGGCTTTATTTCATCAAAGATGTAGGATTAGGGTCGCAATTAGGCTTTAGGTCAGGTTTAGGGTTAGGCTTAGGCTTATGCTTAGGTAAAGTGTTCAGTCCAGGAATGAAGTAAGGAATTCAATAAGTGTAGGATATGACCTCCTGAGCAGTTGTCACCGGAGGAGTACATGGTGCTCTGACATAGTCTCCAGTGACAATTGCTCTTGGATATATTTTGCCATAGGGTTAGGGTTTAAGTTGCAATTTGGTTTTATTGACACAAAATTCACACAAAGCAATTGTGGCTGGAGCAAAAGTGTCTTATAACCAACCGGAGTGTAATTCAACCCCCTAGCAACCATACCTCCTCTGGCATCCAGCCTATCACAAGCAGCTTCGCCGGTCGGCCAGCAAGCACCTCCAACCTGATGTGATCCGTGAAGTCGTTGTAAGTCACCACGACCTCCCTGACCCCTACCGTTGAACCGTCAAACTTGATGTTCCTTAGGCCGAAGCCCACGTTAGGTAGAAGGGCTTTCTGCAGGACCTTGGAGTCTAGATCTTCTGCCTCCACACTGAGGCTGCTCAGTGAACCATGAGGGAGCTGTAGAAGGAAAAACAGATCCTTAGTGATATGACTTTGTCGCATGTCAATTTAGAACTGTTGATTGCCATCAAAGGCATTACCTCAATTTTGAAAATAATTTTGAAAGAAAAAAAGCAGTCAAAATGAATTATGGGACACATAATTTTTTGAGTAGTGATTTTTCTTTGAAAAAAGGTACCATTGACTTTGGAGCAGGGCATAGCATCCATGTGTTAAGTGGCTCTGCAGCTTATGTATAAAGCAGTATGGTACAAACTTTATGAATTGAACTTTTTGCTTGGGAATTATTCGTTTATATTCTCTTACCTTCTTTATACTGTTCCCATAGGCATCAGTGACATGGACGACAATATCACCATCCAAGATCTCTCCAAGCTTCACCTTTGCACTTTTTTTGGTTTGACACTTGATCTGTGTGGCCTTGCCAGGGATTGGCCTGAAAAAATAACAATTGTAAGGATTTTAAACATTTATATTGTTTTGTTTTACCTGACTGCTAAGAAAGCATATGCACGCTTGTAAGGAAGCAACCAGGAGACAGACAGCTTTCAGTTCTTGTTGAGATACTCAGTAACGAGGATTATTGCTCAACCAAAGGGTACTAGCGCAAAAATAACAATTATAAAGATTTTAAACATTCATGTTTGTTTGTTTGACCTGACTACTAAAAAGCAAGTACATGCTTGAAGGTAAGCAACCAGTGGACTGATGACTTTAAGTCCTCTCAGAGGGAGTTGGTAATTGAAGACTATCACTTAAAGCTTTTGTAATACAGAGTGCAATCCTGCTCTTCATATCGTCACGTTGTTGCAGTATGTGCATCTGTTTTACAATACTCACTTGATGTTGAAGGAAAACTCCAGGCCCGATCCATCGGTGAGTCTCAGCTGACAGAACTTGGAATCTCCCACCGTATTGGGGACCTTGATAGGGGGCAAGTACCCCTCCATGAGGGTGGAAGGGTTAAAGCTGGGTAACCAGTTGAACTTGAACTTGTTTGCCAGCTCCTTGGTAATCTTCATGTGGTTGTCGCCCTCATCAAAAAGAGCAAAGCCTGGCGAAAAAGCATAAAATATACATTCTCATTTCATTTCTTCTTTTTTTCTTCATTTCATTTCTGAGAACATAAAGGAGTATAACTATAACAAAGAATACAAGAAAACAAAGGACAATAAAAATACAATCACAAAATAGAAGAAAGCATCAACTAATGCCTGTGGATAACCAAAAGAAATCAAGTTTCATTAGAAGGCTCCTCATTAGCTGATGGTATAGTACATAAATATACATAATTAAGTATTAGATATACATATTTCAACATCAAGAAGAATCAAAAGACAAATCATGGGAGATCAAGAGATCATGATTTGGTAAACTACCTTTAAAAACAAGCCTTGCATTTCTGACACACTAAAAGTCTCATACACAGATAAGTGAGTATGCTACAATAGGGGCATTTGTTTCACAATAGTTCCCCCCCCCCCCCATTGCCATTTTTAGATACATAAAATCATGTTTATGTGAAGATGCTTTTAATGTTTTAATTACTCAATTTTAACAGAGTTCTAATTGATAGAATCTATCTCTTTAAATATATGACTGTTCTCTACTAACTGATATGTGATGTATTCTCTCCGGCCGTCCACTCAATCTCTTCTTGGGGTTTCATCTTGACAGGTTTTTTCTTTGGGTCATCAAGGTACTGATGTTGGCAGAAGAATACATTGATCTTACAGGCGCCGGTGCTGGGTTTGACGGTGATGGCTTTCTCCACATGGCTGACTCCTTTCATATGCTAAGGGAAGATCAAAACAGAGATGACTATAGTCAGGTGCCAAGAGACTTTGCCAAAGATTGTGAGTGGTCCAGATTTGCGAAGGGGTTATGCCACAAAGTAAATGAATAGAAACACCATTTTTGTTCATTTTTTTTTTGGGGGGGGGGGGGGGAGGGGGGGGGTGCAATTCATGAAAGTTTCTTGACATGGAGTCTGCCCACATTAACAATTTGCAAAATATTCTTTCGCAAGAGTTACTGAACCTATGTTAAATGTGCAATGTAAAGAGACCATTTTCATCTATACTGAAATTGATTAGTACAGCCTGGTCTATTGCTTACAATAAGTAAAAACTTTGAACATGCATATTTTAATAAGCATTTATAGGTGGTACAATGGCTCAGGGAACAGAGCAGGATACGAAGATTCTGACCCAATATAGGTGTAAAATACTCAACAAACATACATTCTAAATGACCTGCACGTAGTCCTACAAATGTGATGTAAAGCTGTATGTTCGCTGGAACTCCTTACAAGCATAACTTGCTCCTTAATCAATCAATTCATTTTAATCCATCTCCATATTTTCAATTATCGCTACCTTAACAAACAACTTAGAAGGATTGTGTCCAGAACATGGACAGGAAATACTTAAGTTAACTGTAATGCATTAGAGAAAGATAAGGGTTAAGTTATATGCAACGGGCCAAGGTTTAAATTATTTTGAGAAAAGTTGTTGCATTCAAAGCATCAGGTTATAGAGTTTCTAACCCACCGGAAGTTCAATTCTGGCAGTGATCTTCTGAGATTTCTTGGAGATGTTCTTGATGAAGATAGGGTTACCGGTAAGAGTAGCCTTCCCTGAGTTACTGCAGTCTGCTGTGTATAGAGGCAAGCCAGCAGCACCCAGAAACTGACATGGAAGAAAGAAAAGAGAGGTTAAGCTTTGGTTATAGATTGTATAGGTTTCATGATTGTTTATTATGCACTTTTCACAAAAGGCTGAATTAATGAAGGAGTTGTAGATTAACCTCCTTGGACATGAGGACACACACACTCCACTGTAGTCTAAATCATTGTTTACATAAATATTGATAAAGCTCCTTCATTAAAATCATGTCATACAGTAGTTACAAATTAACAAAGAAATTTTAGGCTCTCAGCGTAGTCATTTTTTAGATATCAAGAACAGTACACACACAAAATGAGGCCTGTTGTATAAAAGTTTTGAGTATGGAATAATCCATCGCAACAATCCTGATATCAGTTAGAGATGGAACTTCTGATTAATTTGAACAATCACTTATCGTTCTTAGAGACTTCGGTGGTAAGCGCTTTATAAATAATGTTTTATTTATTTATTTATTTAAGCCCAAATGAACCTGACTAACCTACAGTTATATATGACCCATTTCCTAAAATTCCTTGTACATTAAGCATTTACTGATAGAGACATCTCAATTGTCAAATTACTTCCAGGTAGAACTTAAGAACATTTTTTCACCATACTTGATTGTGATAAAAAGAAAATTGCCATTGATATCTCGTACCTTGCACTGAACTACAAGTTTTGGGTGCATGGAGAAGTTGCCTGCTCCATCTCTGATCTCCACAGATATAGGAAGCGCTTTGCCGTTCTCTATGCAGAGGTTATCAGTTTCTTCAAACGTTGGCACAACGATCTTGTGTGGCTCACCTGTAGAAAAAACAAGATAATTTTATTGCTCTGAAATGTTGATAATAATAATAATATTAACAACAACAGCATCAACAACAAAGCACCTTTTAAGTGTTATTCTTATCCTGGCTTTTGACAAGCTGACCAAGGGTGCAGAGAACTTGAGGAATTATCTCATTTACTATTCCTGAGTTAAGAGTGGCAAATTTAACTTCATATCTTGCAAAGGACATTAGTACCATCATAATCCTCCTCTTTATCATTCTCATCATCATCATTATGAACAAAATCATCATCATGCTCATCGTCATCGTCATCAACATCATTATCCTCATCATAATCATCATCATCACCATCCTCCTCATCATCATCCTCATCATCATCAAAATCATCAAAATCATCATCATGCTCATCGTCATCGTCATCAACATCATTATCCTCATCATTATCATCACCATCCTCCTCATCATCATCCTCATCATCAACATCATTATCATCCTCATCATCATCATCATCATTCCAATCGCATCATAACTGAATCAAACATCACCAGCAGTCTGTTGTCCACCAGCTAAACTCTCTCTCCGAAAAAGTTTACAACTGAACAAGTGGCCTGCCCTAGCTTACCAGGCAAGATTCTGATCTTAAGTTGTTGAGTCGGAATCTCCAGTCCAGGTATCATCACAGTCATGTTGAAGTTCTTTCCTTGAGCCGACCCAACGTCCCCGGATGCCTTCACTCCTTTCACTATAAGAGAGGTGCCCTTGATTTCCACCTTCTCATAGCTCATTTCAAGGCCACTAAAGAAAAAGAAAAGTATTTTAGCTTCCATTCTTCTTTCTTCTTTATCTGCTTAACATCACCATTCATGATCTGATTTTATCTTTCCTTTTACATCTTCTACAGATAGGTCTCTATACTTTTCTTAAACAGCCTCCATTTCTCCCTTGTTTCTTCCATTTTTTATGCTGCCATTCTTTCTTTTCCTTCCCTTATTATCTTACCAACATCCTCTTTATTCTATATTCCACCATTTCCATGTGACATTTTATTTACCCGTGTATCTTAATCTTGTTTCTGTATATCATGAACTGTTGATTTTGAAGTACAAAGGTACAAAATAAACAATGGTAATTCCCCAAAATTCATTTGTCTCATAACACTAGTTTTGAGGTTGAGTGTTGGCTTGGTGGGTAAATAATTAGATTGGATATTTACAATTTATGAACCCTAATTACTGAGGAAGAAATTAATATAACTAAAATTTGATTGGTATACCTTGCTTCGAGTACTGGTTTGAGGTTAGATGTTGGCTTGGTGGGATAATTGAACTCGTCTTGTAGCTGAAGAGGGATGTTGAATGGGACATCTACCCTGAACGGCGGATCCAAGAATACGATGCTAAACTTGCTTGGTGGGCCCTCTGTTAAAGAATAGCACAATGGACAAGCATTGATATTATTCCACATACTTGTTACCGATTGACTTGGTAATGAGGATTAATCCCTTACCAAAGGGCACTAGCGCATCGCCTTCTGTGTCGAACCCGGATCGCCCGATTACGCTACCATTACTCTATCAACTGAGCTATAACGCCTCCTCAAGTGAAAGATATTTCCCAAAATATAACCCAAGTATTTTGAAATATATCATGGAATTGTGAACAATAGTTGTCATAAAAATATCATGTTTTATGATTTTTTTTTGTTGTCTGATTCAAGCTCTCGTAGGGCTATCAGCTTGATACAGACATCATATATACTGAAATCTTCGATGTGGCGGGTAATGTATGCAAGAACACAATCTTGGACTTAACACCCTTCCTGGAAGTCATCAGATGAAATGAAAGTACGATCGGAAATAACCCTTCAAACTCACCTGTACTTGTGAACTTGATCTTATGACTCGGTAGAGAGCGTCCTCCGAAGTCAGTGGCTCCTTCCTCTCCGAGTACTGCCTGCAGGATCAGGGTATGGGGGCCAATGTTCCTGACAATGTCTAAGACAATCAAAACAAATCAATTCCTGCTTAATCGTCTCAATTTCACTCATTTGCTTGAAGGTAGATAAGTGTATCTGTAGGCAAGTCTAAGTAATGTAAGGTCCCTGTGCATATCAGCCCTCAGAATTTTAGGTCAAGACCCCTGAAACTTTGCCTATAGACTCTTAACATTATCAATCTGGGCCCTGTTTCATACAACTTGTTATCAATAACAAATGCTGAAATTCTCTGACAACTTAACTCTCAGCCAATCAGAGGCCACAATTTCAGTAGTTAATAACAGTTATTGTAATTTTCTATTGATAACAAGTTTTATGATACAAGGACCTGGACCCTCTTTGTAATATCCCAGTCAAATCAACGAGAGACGAAAAATAGACTGACAGCTGACCAAACAAATATGATGTCACCCTGAACGGCAGAGAATCGGTTAGTTTCAGGTAGGTGTGGAGTCGGTTTGGTGGTGGAATTGTGTTGGGTAACTTGGACTGTGAACTCAGACCTCTCATTTGAGGGTGAAAATCATGTTTGTTTTCTTACAACCAATCACTGTTCCGCTGCAGATATGTATCTATATGATTGTCTTACCCATCTGTTTGAACCAGAATGACCATGTCTTGTGATGTTGACTCATGTGGGTTACTATCACCTTGTCACTGCCATTGGCTGCAAGGATTGAAACAATGATAAAGAATAAGAAATTAACTTTTCAGATTAAATTCTTATTCATACAATTATCATCAATTGTGACTCCTAAAATTATTGATATTGATTACAAACATAATTTGTATACAACCAATCAACCAGTTTAACAAATTCTGCATTAAACATGTTTTAAAGGAATATAATATCTTGAAGAAACATAAACACACTAGCGTCATCTGCAAATAATATCAGTGCTAGCACTTTTGAAACAGTGCCAATATCATTTACATGTAAAGGAAATGATAATGGTCCTAGAATTGAGCCTTGGAGCACTCCACTATCTTACTTCTATTGTTTGTGATTGACATTTTTTCTAATACAACATATAGTTTTCAATTACTTCAAAAGTTTTTTAACCATTCCTATGTATAAACAGGAGGCTTGCGGTTGCACCATGTGAGAGAGAGGGAGGATTGGGGAGTCCTGAAAAGGACTCAGACTCTCGGTAATTTTTCTTGAGTGTGTGTAGTCCTGAAACGGACTGTTGGTGTAGTCTTGAAAAAGACTGTTGGTTATCTTTCTTAGCTTATAGTTCTAAGAACTATAGCGCCGGTTGGAGAGGATGGGTGGTAGGAGTGGCTCGACGATTCGAACAGGTTGACTATCCGTCATCAGGTGCAACCGCAAGCCTACTGTATATCTACATCACCATGCAAGCCGATACTTATAAGCAGCATCATTCCAATGTAATTCCTCTAAAACCATAACGTGTGTGATCAAGAGAATCAAAAGCTTTGCTTAGATCTAAAAACAGGCCAATAATTCTTTCATTATTATCAAAGTCATTTGTAACCTTATGTATGAACTCTGTGATGGCAAAAGATATAGAGTGTATTAATACTGTTCTCACTCAGGGCCCTTCAATCATATGTAGAATAAGGTAACTTATTGGATGTGGTTTGCGTTTCTGATTTCGTTTACTCACAATGCCAAATGATCTTCATCTCCACCATGAGTTTCTTAGAGTTATGCTGAGCTCCAGGAAGTCTTGACATGGACTGACCTTTCCTGTTGTGGATCTCAGCTTTGATTGCACCTGTACATAAACAAACAAAATGGGCAATATGATATGAAAGGTAAAAACGGACCAGGGCCCAGTTTCCAGAAGACTAATATCCTAGTCACAATGCCAAACCAACTCCAAAGTGACTATGACTGATAAAATCGTGGCTGAATTTATGTTCAGCCTCTTGTCAATCTAACTGGGTATGGTTTTGAAAATGTGTTAATTCTATGATTTTAAGGTCACCCCGTAAAACATGATTAATTCTATAATGCACATTTCGAAGACAACTTCAAAATACTGGTCCAATGTCCCGAAATATACGTATTCTGCATTAAATTTTAAAGTCATGAGAAATTCAGGTATTTCCTATATTACATAATTTCTCACGCAACATTGAAGAAGAAAAATGTGCATGTCAGCACTACGCAAGAATGGATTATTTTCATCATCTTATTTGTCCACCTCAAGTGAATTTGCACCAAATCCAACTAGCATTTCTTGGCAGCCTCTAGCAATGCCATGACATAATGCACTGACCTATTAGTTTCCCAGCTGGTCGTTTCTCTCCCGCATGGACCTCGTTTGCTTCAGGCCAAGAGATGACAAGAACCCCTGGAAGTCTGGTCAGGAGAAGAGCACAAAGAAACAGTTTTTTTATTCAATTCCTTTGACAGACTCGCTTAAAATACGCTTTCATAATTTCTACCTTTCTGTCTATGTGAGTGCAACAGTTTACTGTAACACTTGTTTACTGTTTTGCTGCTTTCAAGTGCAATAAAAAAATCTTGCTTAAACAAAATAAAATCAGATTAACAGATAGGAGGGTCAAGATATGGTTTGACCCCTATAAAAAACACCAAAATCCAGTAATATTGAGTATGTATTGGTTATTTTGAACACCTTCATGGTTTTCTACATTTTTTGTGGCCAATATCACATTTTAAAGGTAAAGACCAGTATTGGAAACGCCCCAATTTCAAAAAATGAAATGGAAGCTCTCATTACCAATCATGTGAAAGAATATGTTTTGACTAATACATGATGATAAAAAATTTGCCGGGAAACCGCCTACTAATTCATATATTTGGTAAATTTGTTTCTCTCATGGTCTGTGAGAGATATAGGGTAGTCCCATATACATCTTTCTGTGTATAGTGCTTGTAACTTTACGAAGAATGGGCCAAATTTCTTATCATTTTGATGATTCCAGAACCTTGCAGATGCTAGATGCTAGATGATCAACATTTTCTGATCGATTCGACAATGTTTCTTTCACAATGCAATCGCATGACCATGGTCTTTACCTTTAAGAAATCTAAATGGATTTTTCGTCACCCGAAACCTAGGTATGGACAGCTCTTAGCTCTTAGATCACGGGTGGCCAACCTGCGGCCCGCGGAGCATTGAAAAAGTAATTATAAAAATAGTTAATGAATGAAATGCGGCCCGCATAACAGCGATGAAATAGAGTAAAACATTTACACACAGCTATCTCTATTTCCATAATTTGTTTTCATCATTCACAACATATTGATTCGTTACGTGGCTTATACAAAACTCCTCAAATTCCCTCTCATTACATTACATTAACGACATTAACATCACTCGCCGTGTAAATTTCAGTTTGTTATTTCCACATGCAGTAACCTTTGTAAATATACAAATAATAACAATAATAATAATCTTTTAAAATCCACTCCAAATTTTATTAAGTTAAACCGAAAATGGAAATTCTTTTTGCCCAATCGATCGTGAATTAAGAAATATGTTTGAAATGCCATACTTGTCTTAAAACTTACAACCCTTTTCTCCCGCCGTTTAATTTTTTCATTAATCTTAATCGTGGATATAGTCCCCTTATATTCTTTCTGCTATGTCATTGATTTTGTTTGAAAAAACAACCAACATGGCATCGATTTCGAGACGTGCGAAGAAAAGGAAAGTTTCTGATGAAGACAGAAACTTTAAATCGGATTGATCTCTGAAGTATTTCTTCATAGAAGAGAAAGGTACAACTTTGCCTCATATTTTGTCAGCCAGAAATCACACTAAAAAGTAAGCCTGATTTTGTTCGACTGATTTTGTTGTTTGCAAAATTGCAGGTGTGTACATGAGTGTATGTGTGTGTGGGGGGGGGGATTTCAGATTTGGTTTTGACGGGTGTGCCGCTGAAGCCTCGTAACCTCTACCCATTTTTAAGGGTTGCCTTGTTTTGGCAGATTTTTGTTGAAAGTAAAGCCCATTTTATAAAAATTTCGGGTGTTTGCATGGCTAAAACCCTGAATTTTTTTTAAATAAATTTTTTGAAAACACGGACCCATATTTAGGATATTTCTGTTAAAAATGGGACCCAAGTTTAGGGATTCTTTTTGTAAAAAAGGTTACCCATTAGAGTGGCACACCCCGTATGTCTCAATATGTGATTAACCCCCCCCCCCCCCCCCCCCCCCCCCGCCTGGCCTATGGCCCGCCTAGTTATGACAATCGTTAGATGTGGCCCGCGAGCTTTAAAAGGTTGGCCACCCGTGTCTTAGATAGATCTATCACAATCAAAGATTTAAGGTTAATTTTAGTTTCTGTCGGCCATTTTGGATTACAAAATGGCGACAATTTTGTTATGGTTAGGAGTATCAATCAAGTATAAAGCTTATCTAAACCTTTATGATAATTTAAAGCTTACATACAGAAGAAACATAGAGAAAGCATTGAAATACATCAAGCGAATAGAAAGATGAAAACCTGAATGGTCCACATCAAGTCATTGGGACTTACTTTCCTTCTTCATCATCGATGTACTTCTTTATCTGTCTCTCATCAGCTAATCTGTCCAGCTTCCTGAGAGGGTAGATCTTCGTCTCGTTGTACAACAATCTAGGCTCCTACCAAGTACAACAAGAGAGGAGATATGAAAATAAGTTCCACATTCTCAAAGGTCCACATTCTAAAAAGCCGCCTAAACTTTACACCAGATTTAAAAATTGTTAAGTGCTGAAGAGTTTGTTGGGCGCTGATGGATTGCCAAACTGCAACTTCTCCATCCTGTACAAATCACCATTATGCTGTAACTAAAAGAAATACAAAAATTTTCTTGATGAAATTGATTTCTGTTTTATCATTCCTGACATTTTTTCTCCTGTATTTTGTTACATAGCTATAGTAATTTATAAAAAACTGAGAGGTTGACACTTGACTTCCCATCAATCAGCGAAATGGTACCAGGTTTAGCTTGGAATGCTTTCAAAAAATAAGTTGAACCTGATGGTTTTGGCACTGCTTACCTGCTCAATTTCGAACTCTCCTCCCGTCGCAAACAGCATCCCATTCTGGATCTCATTCTCAAAGTCTCCCAACAACAAGAACCGTTGTATTGCCCCATGAAGAATTGGACTTGTCCGCAAGGTTCGAACCTAACAAAGCATAAGATAAGAATATATTGATTAAGGTATTGTCTTGCAGAAAATTATTACTTTGTTATTAAAATTATAGGAATATAACCTACTATGTACATGCATGGTCAATATAAATTACAAAATGTTTGACTGAGCCTAAAAATTACAAAGTAAATGAATGAATGAATGAATAAATAAATAGCTGATATTATTCATGAACTCATTGTCCTCCCTTATAACATCTTACATTTTAAACTGAATACTTCAGACATGAATATACCTCTTTCCCTTGATTTTCTTCTCTTTCTATCTGTACATCTTTTCATTTCACTTTACTACTCATCATAAGAACCTGTGAGTATGTAAAGTTCTTGTAGTGTCTTCCTTCCAACCTCCCCTTCCCAGTAGATATTCTCTAACTTCTTATCTCACTCCTCCTTGTTTGAGAAAGGAATTAAATGTGTATGGCAATGCTTCTCTTTTTCTTCTCATCTCACTTTGTAGAACAAAAAACAATCATCATCCATCTTTTCAACAGATGGAAAGCTGTCCATCTTTTCATTCAAAGTGTTCTCTACATCACGATATCACTTGAGTTGAGGTTTTATTATCCAAACGTTCAAATACCTTATAACAATAATAACAATGATAAATGTTTGTTTAACAAATATCTTAAATGAACAATAGGGAGCAGAAAATAGCATAAAATGCTAACTTGTGACATCATACCTGTTGCCCTGTGGTATACACCTTCCCATCCCATTCCACAGACTTGAACACAGCCCAGGGTCCTTGTTGTTTCTTGGGTAGATCTGGCCTTGTGATGTTACCCACGTAGTCTCTGAAGCAGACCTGTTTGTCGTGCGTCTCGTGACACTTGTGCAGCCATTCAGTGAACTGTTTGTCGATCTTCACTCTCTGGGGCTGAAAACAAGACAACAACGTTCCTACTGTTAATTATACATTATTATATATCTTATCATTTTGACCTGATCTATATTTATCTTCTCCATACTACAATGGGTCCCAATCCAGGATTCAAACCATGGATCTTCATCAACGGCAGAAAGCAGAAACAACTGAAAGCTGAACTTTCAATATCCCTTATCTATCATCATTTCTCCTGTATTGAGTGACGTCATAGGTAACTTGAGAAAGCTTTTTTCTTGGTGTAATTAGTATACAGATATTCACTGGCAGGGGGTGTAATATATCATTCTTTGGACCGCTGAAAGGAGTTATATTTTCCCCAAGTGGTAAAATTTTCCCGAAGCACGCAGCACTGAGGAAAAATATGGTCACAAGGGAAAATATTACTCAATTCAGGTCCAAAGAATGTTATATACCCCTGCCAGTCAATATCTGTTATAAATATTAGATAGCCTTGGTTTGAAAATTTAGGGGGGTTCCATTTTTTTCGCCCGATTTTTTTTGGCAGACACCATAAAGTGCTTTATGACTGCGATTCCCAAATGATTGAACCTTTCAGTCATTTTTCCAGCAAAGATAAACAGACTATTTCTCAGATTTTCTGTGATGTTTTAACCAATCTTTACTCAATAACAGGACAAGGTAAGAATTCTTGGTAGATTTTTGTTTCAATTTGGCATATAAAAGACATATCGACTGCTTTAATATTCATGGTCTGGCTGTCTTATAGGCTCTCAGGGACCCATATCTACCCAGGCGCCTCGCGGTCAAGGCTAGATGTGCGCACGTTCCCTTGAGCCTATAAAACAGCCAGGCCTCTAAAAGCAGTCGATATCTCTACATTATTTCATTCATTTTAATTGAGCATGCCATCTCCAAACTAGCAACATGATTAAAAAAGAAACCATTTTGTTTTCTTACCTGACCCCCAACAACTCTCTGAAAGACTGCGCTCTTATCCCTCAGCTTCATCTCAAAGTCAATGAAGGTCAGTTTGTTTGTGCTGACCTCAAACTTGCTGTTGGCAAAGAGGGCACCAGATACCCTGTTGTAGCACTCAGCTGGAATGTTGACTCGTTTCTTAGGCAAGGCACACCAGTCAAAGCTGATGGTCAAAACACAATGGATACGTTCACGAGATTAAAACCTGATTGTAGTAAATCTATTGGAATGTCAACTTCTTTTCTTTCTTTCATTTATATAACTTTATATCTACTGATCTATACAAAAGTATAGCACTTATGACGCTTGCTCTAAAATGTCTCACAAATTCAATGTTCTTCGTCAGTGTTTCAAATTCGGATTATTCTCGTTAGTCTTTGTTGGCATTAGTTGGTTAAAGCTAGGGTAAAAAATTCCAAAGCTCTTTGGAAGCGCATAGAGATGTTATTTCATAACGTATTATGCGCTATACAAGAACTGAATATTATTATTATTATTATATTGAGATAATTTTGTAGCAGGAAACAGGAAAGTCTTGTGGGCTGACATGAACATTGACATAGACTCGGCGCTCCTGATAGATCGTGAAAAACTATTCCATGGCTTGGGTTCAGAGAAGTAGAAGGCTCTGTCCCCCAAGTTGTGCGACTGAAAGTTTCTGTTGGAGAGCTTTGTCAGCTGATCTCAGACGTTTATGCCATCATTTATCCATTCCTCATTTTTTCCACTCATTCCATCATTAAATCCGTAATTCCTTCAATCATACCTTCATCCAATCATTCACACCTTCAATCGCTCACATCACCATTTGTTGAATACAAGATGAAGGATTGATACTATCATCCTGTATGATGCCATATCAATGAAGCAAACAGATAGACTTCAAAATAAAATGTTATAGTGCCTCCACATCTTAACTTTACAACTGCATGATATTTACTGAATAAATCATGAAGAATGAATTTCTTTAACCAAATAACGCTTTAAGGCAAATGACTCCCACAATCATTCAAATTAGACTTATTACTCTCTACTACTCACTCTTGGACCAGTGTATATGGAATAAGCCTTCCATTCCAGTAGCACTCAAATACGGCTTTGCTACCCCTTGCAGGTCTATCTTTGTTGTAATCAGTCTCGTCATCGACTTCCTCAAGTACTGCCAAAATAAAGCATAAAACACATCATATAGAATAAATGGAAAAGTTTTTTCTCTCTTTCTTTCTCTCTTTCTTTCTTTCTTTCTCTCTCTCCCTCCCTCCCTGTGTCCCATCCTCCTTCTTTCTCTTTCTTTCCTTCTTTTTTTCTTTCTTTCTTTATTTCTTTCTTCCTTTCCCTCTCTCTCACTGGTTTACCAGAATTTACCATGTCCTTCAAATAACATGATGCCAAGGACAATGCAAATGTCAACAAAAACAAATTTGAGTTGTTTTCACTGTTCAGTTGAAATGTTATAGCTCCTTGTAGAGCCCGGCACATTTATAATCTCCAATTCCAATGGACTAATGGATATTCCAAAGGACATTATGTATGTTTAAAATATGTATGTTTAAAATATGATATAGAAACCAATAAATCAAATCAAAATCAAAATCAAAATCATAGAGTCAAATTTGACACCAAAAACCACCACAAAAAAAACCACTTTTGTCCCTCACCTAAGCCATAGTCGGCTGGATACGACTCCTTGTCGAAGAGGAATGGATGATATCTAAGCACGCCCTCAACCAGTCCAGTTCCTTCAACCAAGACACGGAATTCAAACGTGTCCTTGGCAGACCTGATGAAGTTGGATTGGTGGTCGTCTTCAATGTCTCTCAGGTTGAGCTGCCGAGGCGTATGGCCCTTCTTGTACGTGGTGATGCTGATGTCAATGTTCTTGTAGGGGCTTGGCGTACGGTACATGGAGTTGGATAGGTGGGACTGGTTGCCTTGTGGTCCATGGATGTAGTAGTGGTAGATGTGTCTGTAATGACAATCAGGAAAGCCATACCAAAGACATATTAAAGAGCTAAATGAAATGGAGGCAATTGGCACCTGATAACTCTGCAACCTTTACCAAGTCACAATTCTCAATACGTTGTGAATATATTTTTCAGTCTCCTTTATCACATGATGCCTAATCATTTTTAACAGGTGTTTATTTGATTCAATCTCCTTCATTTGTTGATTATTGGTTACAATTTTTCAATTGGACTAATCTTTTTATGAATCATCTTTTTCAGGAAGGGGAAACAAGTATCATTCTGTAAAATCAGTAGACTGAACATAATTACATTATATTTCAAGCAATATATACCACAACCTAGCTCAAATTTTTCTAAGACACAATGCTTTGTTCCTCTTTACATGTAAATAGAGACTGTGTACATCAGCAGGGCTCCTAACTATTATTTTTTCTTTCATGGAGAGTCCAGGTTTATAATTCCCAAGGTCTGTTTGGAACCACTCACTTCCTCTTAACACTTGCACAAATTTGAAGGGGGATGGGGGAGCTGGGGGGTTTAGAATTATAATCTGGGGTTGGTACCAAACCTTCACCTATGCCCTAACCAACACCTGTCTCCCGTATGTAAATGGAATCCAGTACACAATACGTGAGAGACTTACGCCAGCTGTCTGCTCCACCTGCTAAAGTCTTCTTTGAGGAACTTGATGTGGTGTGACTTGATACTGGTGATGACCACGTGGGTGAAGTTCTCCTTGCCTTCCTCTTCCTTGACCAGTTTTTGCAGGATCTCATCTTCTGCTGATATGTGACTGCCCTCGCCAGGCTACAAGATGGAGAAAAGAAACATAACCGAAAGTAGTACAACTGCTTTATCTCATATTCTGGTAATACATGACTACCCTCGCCAGGCTTCAAGTGTGAATTGTAAAAAAAGATAGAGAAAAGAAATTTTACTGAAAGTAGTACAATTACTTTATTTCATCTTCTGGTGAGACGTGACTGCCCAAACCAGGCTTCAAGTGTGAATTGCATAAAAAAGATGGAGAAAAGAAACATGACTGACAGTAGTACAACTGCTTTATCTCCTCTTCTAGTGGAAAGGTGGCTGTCCTCGCCAGGCTTCAAGTATGAATTGCATAACAAAGAAACGTTACTGTAAGTAGTACAACTACTTTATCTCATCTTCTGTTGATATTTCATATACTTCTCTATCGATAGATAACTGTCCTTGCTAGGTATTATAGGAGCAACGAGGCATGTTAATAATGAAAGAAACCAGCATTATCATATTTAATCAACCACCCACCTGCCTATTGTGGATGATGCCCTTGTAGATGTCTTCTTTGTTCTTCTCTCTTCTTTCAAACTCTTCCTTTGATACCGCCATCTCATGAACATCCTTTGAGTCTCTGGGTTTACTGATCATCTGTAAGAAAAGATATATGAAGGCTTCAAGATTTTTTAATCAGTTTAATAGAAAGATTAATCTATAACAATGTTACAGAAGTTGTCATGGAGTTAATCATGACCGGAAAAGGGTAATCTTACAAGGCCATTATGTTGCACAAAGCAGCCCTTCTGTCGATTGGTGCCTACAGTTTTGTGCAAAATTGCATATGTGGCAAACAACCGACCATGCAAAGACGCGTAGAAAGCAATCAAGGTGTTGATACACTATGTCTAAGGATACAGGCAAAAAGCATACAACTCACCCTGGTCGAATCACCAATGAAAAACACTGCTTGCTTTCCTCCTACTCCAAAGTACGAGATGTCACTGTTTAACGATCTGGGAATGTCTTTCTCTTCCTCACTGTTATAAGAAACAATAGTGGATCAAATACAAAGATCATGTAATTGGTACTTCTTAAATGGTCTTTCAAATGTAATGAATAAAGGACTAAATCATTGCACAAGATTATAATCTTTGCCACTTTCTGACAATCGATATTACAATGTACTTAACTTTTTATATCATTTCTTTTTTAATTCTATACAATTTCTTGGTTAGTGCTACTAAATGCGCCTGATAAATTGGTCTGAGACTTCATGCAAATACATTTATCATTGAATCTATGGCCTGAGACAACATCATGAATCTACTGTTAAAAGGATTTTAAACTTCAGGTAGATATACAATCAGTGGAAATCTGGCTTTAAAGGCTACCTCAGGGGCCTTGTGCAAAGATCCTTGACTTGGTTTCATACAGCTAACGTGCAGTTCCAAGATGACTACTCTACCACTGAACCATAAATTATGATGACAATATTTCTCCTTTCCTTGTGAATCAGTTTTGTTAATGAAGAGATGTTACCTGTTGTTCTCTTGTTTTAGTCTCTTTCTCTTGCGATTGAATTTAGAGAGTCGATAGATGGCCCAGTTGTTGAGTTCCCTGGTGGTCATGCCCTTGCCATTGTCAAGGACACAAACCATGCTTTTATCTCCTGTTTCATCCAGGTACTGGTTGAAAGTGAAACAAAAAGCAGGATAATTAATGAGCTGTTCAGCCATATTACCATATCATCTGTTTAGTGCCAGAAGGGCGTAAAGTCGTATACTTTAACACAAAGATAACGCCCTAAACATACTATATAAAACAGTTGACTCTCTTAAGCAAAATCCTGCTGCTGTAAAATAAATTACTTTGAATAGAGGAGCATTCTTCACATTTATGTAAGCAATCGTTTTCTATTTGTATACAAGATATAACTGAAAAGAAATATGAACAAAAGACATGACGTTTAAGAACCTAAGTAACCACTTTAGACTACAAGATGTTGATTTTCCAGTATTCCACCAAAAGTGTGGTCTTTTCCAGCACCTGCACAAGCATTACCATCAGAAAACAAACTGTGTACATTTGAGTTTCTTACGAAGGTTCTGTGCCTGTCACAAAAGCCATGAAAATCATGACAGTATCAATAACTTCCAAGACTGTTTTCATTTACCACCCAAATTCCAATCAGAAATTAAAACTTTGCATATTTAAAGGAAATGTAAATAACTTTTAATAGGCACATACCAATCTGATTTCTATATTTCTGGGTCCAACATTATCCACAGTGGCTGCAAGTGAGTTGTCTATCAGTTCTGCAATTGCAAAAGCTGTTGGGTATAGAAACAAAAAAAACTGACAGGTCACAGGTGTTATGATGAAATGACATGATACATCTTGTAGAAGTTATGTCAATTACAAATTGAAATTTCCAATGACATTTTAAGATATGAAATAGAAAACCAATAACATTATCATAAATGTAATAAAATGATGTCAATGTTAAATACAAATTCATTTAATAGCTTGCCACACTTTGTATGTTGTTCAATATGGAATTACATAAAAATGTATTCATTACTGACAACCACAGCTAAACAGAAAGAAAAACATGGCTTTTAGAGTGTAAGAAACAATAAATTTGAACAAGTTGTTCGGAGGTACATGTAGTAGTGATGAAGCTTAATAGATGAAAGTAAAGAATTAAATACCAATACCACTGATCACATCAGAGGCGGATCCAGCCAGCGGCGAAGGAGGGTACCCAAGAGAGGGCCCAATTCGCGAGAAAATATTTAGCAGCGACTCGGCCGATTAAGAGTGGGGGGGGGTAGTGAGCACTAATTTATCTTGCCAAGGGGGAGGGGGCCTGTCTTCTTTTTTTTTTTTTTTAAAGGTAAAATTAACGTTACCATCTTTTTTAAAACCTATCTTTGGGGCCAGGGAAGGGGGCACGGGCTCTCCTCATTCCTCCCCCCCCCCCTCCCCCAGATCACATAATGAAAGATTTCAAGGCTTACGTAGTGGATTCTGTCCCTCGCTGGCATAGTACTCATACATGCCACTCCTGATGAGGGTGTCAAAGTGGGGTTGGTACTCCACCCTCTCCTGGGTAGGGGCCAGCAAGGCTTGCTTGAGGTGCACCAGCAGATAGAGAGTGTCTCCATCCTCAACAAGCTCCTCTGAAATGGTTTTAAATATAGTATTATAGTAATAAAGGACAGGTATAAATGTACAGGGCAACTACGATCAAATATAATTACCTTTAATAACTATCTTGAAAGTTCACACTTTACTTCTGGTGTCAAAGGACGTTTAGTGAACTTTTGTCACTAAATGAATGACAAACTCGTTGATTTAAGAGACAAACAAATGAAATACTGTATTTTTCTATTTTCTCACATGGTTCATTGGCATCTGTTTTATTTGAATATAAATGAAGCCCTAAAATGGAAGCCACAAATTGACAAGTTCTTTTAAAAAATGAAAGTATGAAACACATTTGAAATGAAATATTTTGAATGCAGTTCCATCATATGAAAGGACAAATATACTCCTCTATATCATGGTTGCAATAAACTCAGTTATCTTCAAGCTTTAATCTCCATCCAAAATTTTGAGTATGAGGTAGGTACTATGAAAAGAAACTTTGGTGTTGAATAAGGTGTGATAAAAATGCTCCATCTACACTCATGTGTTTCCAGCATCTCTCTCCAATCTCATTTACCAGTTATTAAAACTACAATTCTTTTTTTGGTTAAGTAGCTGGGCTTTGTTTCATCAAACTTGATATCAAAACAAGTTACAATAACTGTTATAAGCTACTGAAATAGTGGCATTTGATTTGCTGACAGCAGATTTGTCATCAAAATTTACCATTTGTTATTGACAACAATTTTTTTATAAAACAGGGACCTGGATAGATGTTCTCAATAGAAGAGAGAGATGAAAATTGTAGATTGTGTGAAACAGCTTACCATAAGTCTCATCTGTATTGATCTCATCCCTGTTAGTGGTTGCGATGACAAACTTTCCACTATCTGGGATTCCAAACTCCTATAATTACAAATAGTATGAAAAGATAATGCAAGATTATAGGGAAGTCCAAACTCGATAGCAAGCTACTCTAGAGGAAAGCAGAAAAATCTGAGAAGTAGACTGGTGAAAGTTTGTATGGAATCTAACAAAAAATGAGAAAGTTAAGTATTTTTGAAACTTGTAATCACTATAGCCTAGGTATCTTCAAATTGGCTCACTAAGTAATTTTTCTGTAATGTAGTTGAGGACATCTTTCCCATATGTTCCAAAACACAAAATGACTAAAACTGTCAATTTTTCACAAATGTGTGACTCAGGAAAGTTTTTTCCTTTCTAGAGGACCTATAATAATATGCTATCCATAATATAATTTGAGTAGTGCCCAAAGGGAGAAGGCGTTAAGAAGATTTTTTAAAAACCACAGTGTAAGTAGAAAACAGAATCATAAAACTTAGATCTAGTATTTTTTTTTAATTTAAACGTGACAAACTGGAGTTATCCGCAACTAATCACAATCCTCAGATCAAATGCAAACTGCCCATTCAACTAAAATTTGGATACACTTATGCACTTGTCGATGTGATGTCCCATCCTACTACCCCTGGACAGGGACAAACATACATGTTATTTGACACACCCCTCAGGCACTTTTTTGACTGACAAAACATAGAAAATGACCCACACCTCAGTCACAAAAATGACGGACATCCTTGGTGAATTGACTCACACTAAGTCAAATTTTGACGGCTAAAAGGTGGAAAATGACGCACATATTAGAGTAATAGAGGGAATTTTCAGCCGGTTGCAGTTTTTGGACCGGTCTGTTGGATGCATTGTAAAATCCCTTTATGATACATTGCATAATAACATATCACATATCACACACATACAATAACATGCCAGAGTCACTGGAGAACCACATTTGCAATGGAAAATGTATCCTTAAATCTCACATTGTAGCGACGTAATCGGCGGTCTCGCTTCTCGAATATGAAAAATCGAATATCTTACGCCTGTGTGAAGTTATCTACCGTAATGAGGATCTGAGACATTACGTTAGATAAATTCACACAGGCGCGCGCCCGCACGCAACCCACCATTGTTATGCACTTGTATTGTGCAGCAGTTTTCCGAAACCTGTGAAAAATTGTGTTCTTAAGTATAGTATCAACGTTTATCCGAAAAATAGTCCAAAAATGACAAGAAAATTGACACAAAACAGGTAATAAACAAAACAACTTTTAACTCTTGATCTTTATTTGGACATTTAATGAATATTTACCTCATTTTAGGTATGTTTTAGTAGGGTATCTCCACGCCGGAGTTTATACGGGTCAAATTTTGGATAGGCTTCTGAACAAGCGCCAAATCAAGATTTTCCAAGTAGATCTAGAATCTAGATCTAAAGTTAAAAAATCAACCCACTGGCATAGACCCTTCTAGACCGAATTTTCCGTCTCTTTCGTTCGTTAGCCTCTTATTGGGGTAGGGTCGGCTCTCTCTTTAGAGACGGAAACCGTCTATACACATTCCCTTGATAACGCCACGGCCATTTCAGGTCGTAGCGTTTTGCCCCCAAAATCCCCCAAAATGTCATTTTACCTCGTGCATATCCACATGTAAATTAGGCCTAGGCTATAATACATCGGTTCCACTTAACAACTTGACTGAAATAATCAGTTTAATAGTCCCTTTTTAGGAAATTATGGGTCAAAATCGAAATCCATTTTGAAAATCTTTTTCAACATGGATTTCGATTTTGACCCATAAATTCCTAAAAAGGGACTATTAAACTGATTATTTCAGTCAAGTTGGTAAGTGGAACTGATTTATTATAGCCTAGGCCTAATTTACAATATAACATGCACGAGGTAAAATGACATTTTGGGGGATTTTGGGGGCAAAACGCTACGACCTGAAATGGCCGTGGCGTTATCAAGGGAATGTGTATAGACGGTTTCCGTCTCTAAAGAGAGAGCCGGCCGACCCTACCCCAATAAGAGGCTAACGAACGAAAGAGACGGAAAATTCGGTCTAAGACCCTTGGGTCATTCCATGTCAAATCACCCAAAAAATCTGAAAATCTTAACCCGACCATTTTTGATTTTGATGAAACTTGGTGAACTTGTTGAGTGTGATCTCACAGCACCAAATCCCAAATTTTAGGTCAATCGGGTGAGGGGTTTGGGAGATACGGCCCACCAAATTTTGAGATTTTTTCAAAAATGGGGGTGGCGGGCCTACCTTTGAACCCTTGTATCTCGGGACCTAATGGGTCAATCTTCTCAAAATTTGTATTGTTGGAAAGGGTATTCAATAAGGATTCCAAATCTGCCGCCATTTTGAAGATTCGTACATGTTGGGGAACTTTGACCTCTTGACCTAAGATTTGACCTTGAAATTGACCTTGTGGATCACGTAACTTTGACAACATTTTTCATGAAATGTAATCTCTGACATGTTCACTAAAACATATAAAAGTTTCAGAGATATAATATTTTTTGTTTTGGAGCAATAAGGATTGAAAGTATCCATGCTCACAGATATTCACAATAAGCCCTATTATAATGTATACGATACATGCAATATGCACAGTACAACATACATCTTCCACATGCTTTTTTGTTTTAGTCATATCCATCCTAAATGTCAGCAGTACTTGAATAGAAATATAGGCCTAAAGGGTTAACAGGATGTATGGCTTTAGACCTCCGAGGCAGTTCTAGGAAAATTCCCCCCCCCCCCCGGAAAACTACCCTCTAAGGACAATTACCCCAGAGGACAATTACCCCCCCCCCCCCCCTATTTGTTAAAGGGGAAGTCCATCCTGATAATAAAGTGGTTTTAATCAAAGCAGATTTTTTTTTTTTTTTTGGGGGGGGGGTATAATATTCTTGAGGGGTAATTTTACGGGGGGGGGGGGGGGTAATTGTCCTAGGGGGAAATTGTCCGGGGGTTAATTGTCTATGGGGGGCGGGGACAGATTGTCCTAGGAGGTAATTTTCTGGGGGTAATAATCCTCTGGGTGTGATAGTCCTTGAGGGGGTAATTGTCCTCTGGGGGGGGGGGGACATTTCCTGAGGGTTAATTTTCTAGGGGGGTAATTATCCTAGAACCGACTCAAAGGCCTAAAGCCATACATCCTGTTAACCCTTTAGGCCTACATGAACTTGTCATTTTATTTCTATTCAAGTACTACTGACATTTAGGATGGATATGCCTAAAACAAAAAAGCATACATGTGGAAGATGTATGTTGTACTGTGCATATTGCATGTATTGTATACATTATAATAGGGTTTATTGTGAATATCTGTGAGCATGGATACTTTCAATCCTTATTGCTCCTAAACAAAAAATATTATATCTCTGAAACTTTTATATGTTTTAGTGAACATGTCAGAGATTACATTTCATGAAAAATGTTGTCAAAGTTCCGTGATCCACAAGGTCAATTTCAAGGTCAAATCTGAGGTCAAGAGGTCAAAGTACCCCAACATGTACGAATCTTCAAAATGGCGGCAGATTTGGAATCCTTATTGAATTCCCTTTCCAACAATACAAATTTTGTGAAGATTGACCCATTAGGTCCCGAGATACAAGGGTTCAAAGGTAGGCCCGCCACCCCCATTTTTGAAAAAATCTCAAAATTTGGTGGGCCGTATCTCCCAAACCCCTCACTCGATTGACCTAAAATTTGGGATTTGGTGCTGTGAGATCACACTCAACAAGTACACTAAGTTTCATCAAAATAAAAAATGGTCGGGTTAAAACCATTGGGTGATTTGACATGGAATGACCCCCTTCTAGCATTAGTTTTTACACACACAGTGACAGTTACAGAAGAAAAACAAATTAGGCCTAGACTCTCTAGTCAGTCTAGATCTAAATCTAATTCTGCCATAGGGTATTAGGAATAAAAAATGCAAAAAAGTAGCGTGAAAAATCTTTAAGTTCATGAAGTTTTGAAGCCCATGCCCATGCCATGGTCGCTAACACAAGAAGCAAGGTCGACTAAACATCTACACATTCTAGATTGGGCTTGACTCTAAAATATAGTCTACTTCTAGAATCTAGGTCTAATCTGAAAATATGAGGTTTCGTTATTTTTTCGTTCCGGAATTTTGCCGGATTAGCCCGATGCCCGGCAGCCGGGGGCTTAGACCGAATTTTCCGTCTCTTTCGTTCGTTAGCCTCTTATTGGGGTAGGGTCGGCTCTCTCTTTAGAGACGGAAGCCGTTTATACACATGTCCTTGCTAACGCCACGGCCAGTTCTGGTCGTAGCGTTTTGCCCCCAAAATCCCCCAAAATGTCATTTTACCTCGAGCATGTTATATTGTAAATTAGGCCTAGGCTATAATAAATCAGTTCCACTTACCAACTTGACTGAAATAATCAGTTTAATAGTCCCTTTTTAGGAATTTATGGGTCAAAATCGGAATCCATGTTGAAAAAGATTTTCAAAATGGATTTCGATTTTGACCCATAATTTCCTAAAAAGGGACTATTAAACTGATTATTTCAGTCAAGTTGGTAAGTGGAACTGATTTATTATAGCCTAGGCCTAGAGTAAAGGAGCCCGTTTTCGGCCACTTAAGACAAAATCCTATTTTTAGGACTCTTACTTCCTATTTATTATCATTTCTTGTTCAAATCATGAAGCAAATATTATTATTATTTAAACAAAAAAAGAATCCCAGAAAAAAATCACGAATTGCCATGACAATATTCATTTCAATTTTCACTGTTTTGGAGCCCGTTATCGGCCGAGCGTTTCAGTTTACGGCCGCATGTACAAAGTCAATAGGAAGCGCTCGCGCGCGCCGTGCGTTTCCGCGCTGATGTACAGCACAAGCGGGCGGAGCAGGTATCCCACGCCGGAGCTCCCTGGTGCTCGCCTGGCCGAAGACGGGCACAGCGGTGATCGGAAGTTGGAATCTGAATTAGACAGAGATATCGTGTGTGCGTCGCGGTGTGCGGCTGCATTGATTTAATACATGCGATGAGATACTTTTGAGCTTGCGACCAGCACAAAATCGGGCTTTAAATCTGAAAAATACTTGAAATAAAGCTCATTTTATGGTACCCATATTTCTTACAAACACGCGTAAGATACTCGATTTTTCAGATTTGGGTAGCGGGACCGGCGATTACATCGCTAAAATGTGATATTTTAGGATATATTTTCCATTGCAAATGTGGTTCTTCAGTGACACTGGCATGGTATGGTATGTGTGGGATATGTGTTATGCTATTATGCGATGTATTTTAGAGTGATTTTACCTTGCATCCAACCAATCGGCCGAAAACAGGAGCTGGCCGATTACGGGCTCCTTTACTCTAATTTACAATATAACATGCTCGAGGTAAAATGACATTTTGGGGGATTTTGGGGGCAAAACGCTACGACCAGAACTGGCCGTGGCCTTAGCAAGGACATGTGTATAAACGGCTTCCGTCTCTAAAGAGAGAGCCGACCCTACCCCAATAAGAGGCTAACGAACGAAAGAGACGGAAAATTCGGTCTACCGGGGGCTAAGCCAGCCTAGACCGAAAGCTTCAGTCTCTATACCGTCGGTTGTTCCACTGAGACTACGTCTGGCTCCACTAGACCTCCGGTTATAGAGACAGAACGACTGCCTATGCCAGCCTGTGTTGAACTTATTCCGCTAGATTTTAGCCGCTAGGCCCCTCCCACAAACTTGCCACGGCCGTATTGTTATGCCCCCAAAATCCCCCAAAATGTCATTTTACCTCGTCCATATCCAATTTTAAATTAGGCCTAGGCTATAATACATCGGTTCCACTTACTAATTTGATGGAAATAATCCGTTTAATGGTCCCTTTTAAGGAAATTATGGGTCAAAATCGACATCCATGTTGAAAATCTTGCAAGCCGTGTTAAACTCTCGTTGCCGTCAATCTCATCCCTTCTAGTCTACGCCGAAGGCAAAATGATTATGAAGGAAAAAACTGTGATAACGCCATTACGAGCGTGTAGATGGCGCACAGTTTTTCCTTCATTATCATTTTGCCTTCGGCGTAGACTAGAAGGGATGAGATTGACGGCAGCGAGAGTTTAACGGACGGCTTGCAAGATTTTCAACATGGATGTCGATTTTGACCCATAATTTCCTTAAAAGGGACCATTAAACGGATTATTTACATCAAATTAGTAAGTGGAACCGATGTATTATAGCCTAGGCCTAATTTAAAATTGGATATGGACGAGGTAAAATGACATTTTGGGGGATTTTGGGGGCATAACAATACGGCCGTGGCAAGTTTGTGGGAGGGGCCTAGCGGCTAAAATCTAGCGGAATAAGTTCAACACAGGCTGGCATAGGCAGTCGTTCAGTCTCTATAACCGGAGGTCTAGTGGAGCCAGACGTAGTCTCAGTGGAACAACCGACGATTATAGAGACTGAAGCTTTCGGTCTAAGCCAGCCTAGCTCCACCCCAGGCCAAGGGCATGCAGGACACGTCAAAAGCCCAACGGGAACGCGGGACGATGTGTGTACAAACGTGCATGTAAATTTTATGGTCTATCGAATCGTACGAATTATCAATGCGAAAAAGACCTCTAGTAAACTGTAACAACAGTCATGCTTACTTTCTTGATTAAATCCTTGAAATCAGCAAAGCTGAAGACACCTCCAAGAGCGATTTTCCGCTCTGGATCAGAGCCCCTGCGACGATCGAAAACGTATACAGTTGAGTCCTCCTCCGTTGAACTTTCGCCTGCCATGGTCGCCGCCATGTTGTTTTCTGCAAGTGTGTAGCGCTCGTCCTTGTTGTACCTAGATCTTGAAACTGAACTGGCGACCAATAAGGAGAAAGCTAGCCACCAAGAATGAGAATGTGTCTTCAGATCAAAAAGAATATTTTGCGAGTACGGTCGGCTGAATAACGACTTAACGTCTATTGTTTTCCGGGCTAACTGCATCCGAATCCTTATTGGTCGCTGAAAAGTAGCCCAATCAGATGTCTTCTCTGCTAGTTAGTATAGCTGCATTTTCCGAGGTGCTATCATTATCCGGGGCAGGCGCGGATCCAGGATTTCTTAGGGGGGGGGGGCTAAATTTGAAATAAATTTGAAATTTAGTGTGCTGAAATTTTAAAATAGGGAGGGGGGGGGGGGGGGTAATGAGCACTAATTTTTTGGGGGCCCTCGAAAATTTGAAAAATCACCCCCCCCCCCCCCCCCCCCCCCCCTCTGGATCCGCCACTGATCCGGGTGTGATTTTCTTCTGTTTAAATAATTATCCTGAGGCCATAGAGTTGTTTTTTATCAGGGGGCAATTGTCCTAGGGTAGTTGTCTTCAGGGGCGGGTCCAGTCGGCGGCGAGGGGTGGAGGGGGGGGGGGATTTGTGAAGAAGTTTAGCGGCGCGTCCCGCACATTAGCGGACGGGGGTAGTCTAAGGAGATGTGCCCCCTTCCGAAGCTGAAGGAAAAGTATACACCGAATTGCACGAATTTGTCACACTCAATTCATGCGATTCGGTGTATACTTTTTGCCAGGAAATCATTTAAGAACTGACTTTTTCCGGCATAAATTTGTGATATACAGCCTTGGATTTCTTTGTTTAAAACTTGTTTACAATAATTGTTTACAATTTGATGAAATAACACTGGAGGATTAACATGGGCAAAATGCACTTGTTTACATGATCGTATTATCTCTTATTAGTTCTAATGTTTTCTGACTGTTGTCGAGACAGTATCATGTTTATTGATCATAGTTCTATGTAGCTTGATGCGGGGCTTGCAGGCGCGTAGCCAGGGGGGCGGTGGGGGCGGTCGCCCCCCCCCCCCCCCAAAAAAAAAAAAAAACGCCGGCCAAAAAAAAAGAGAGAGAAAGAGAAGAAAAAAAAGAAAGAGGACGTAGGAAGAAAAAGGGAAAAGGAGTCGAGAACGGTACAATGAATCGTCAAAGCTTCCGCGCTTCGCGCGGGAAGGGAGAAACTGAGTTGAAATTAAGAAATATGAGTCGGGAAAGGTACAACGAATCGTCTTCTTTCTCTAATAATCTAATGAAACGTCAAAGCTTCGCGCGAGAGGGGGGGGGGAACAGAATTCAGGCAAGGACTAAGAGTCGAGAAAGGTACAACGAATCGTCTTCTTTCTCTAATAATTTAATGAAACGTCAAAGCTTCGCGTGAGAGAGGGGAAGGACTGAATACAGGTAAGGATTAAGAGTCGAGAGAGGTAAAACGAATCGTCTTCTTTCTCTAATAATTTAATGAAACGTCAAAGCTTCGCGCTAGAGAGGGGAGGGACTGAATTCGGACAAGGATTATGAGTCGAGAAAGGTACAACGAATCGTCTTCTTTCAAAGCTTCCGCGCTTCGCGCGGGAGGGGGGGGAAACTCCCCCCTCCCTGCACCCACCCCCCTAGGGAGCGCGCTTCGCGCGCTCTTTAAGTGATTCGCACGCTTCGCGTGCTCACTACCGCCCCCCCTAAAATGAAATCCTGGCTACGCGCTTGGGGGCTTGATGTCTCATGGTAAATTTTAGGGAAAATCAAAATATGCAACGATTGTTGAATTGTAACGACAGTCGTTCGTCATTGCTACTCAACAAATTGAAATTTCAGGACTCGTGACAAATTCGTTTAACACTGTTGATCGCGCTTGGTTGAGTCCACTGTTCGCATGAATTAGCTGAGAGATATACAAAAGTGAACATAATAGCTAACCATTGACGACGAACTGTTAATATTATTCTTATTTTTTCACCGCCTTTACAATGCTATTTGAATGGGGAGAAAAATAAAATGTTAGGCTTTCTGGGAAAAGGTTCAATTGTTGTTTTAAAAAATTCAGTTGATTCCGCTCGGTTGATTCTATTTTTCGGATCATTAAGCTGAGAAAGTTGACATTCTCATAACTAACGACCTCGCATTATTATTCTTGTTCATCGTCTCTACAATGTAATTAATTTGGAACAATATTTGATGACAATAAACGGCACTTCGTGCTATTTTTTATGTATTGCAATCACATGGCAGGTAAATAATCATCAGCACCTGCATGGTTTAATAAATTAATGAATACTGAATTTGAACCCGGGCTTTGCTCTCTCTCTTTCTCTCTCTCTCTCTCTCTCTCTCTCTCTCTCTCTCTCTCTCTCTCTCTCTCTCTCTCTCAATAATAGAGAATATAATCATTACTATATCGAGGAAGTTATTCTTCCCTTTCCCCTTCTTCTTCATCTTCTTCTTCCCAGTAGTAGAAGTAGTAGTAGCCTATAGTAGTGTAATATCAGCAGTATCATTATAATCATTATTATTATCATTATTATATATATCATTGGTGTTGTTGCTATATAATATCGTAATTATTATCATTTTTATCATTGTTATTCATATAATAATTTGTTATTTTTATTCATAATCTTATTGTCTTATAATTATCTTTTGCAATACGTCATGTGCCAGGATTTATTCCATTTTTGTTAAATCATATAGGCCTAAAACACGAATTAGGGCTATAGTTCTGACTTGAAAATACCCTAATCTCGGAGCATGGCCTGGACCGGATCCTTGACCTGTATACGGATAAGTGAGTGCTCTGGGTCCAGGCTAACTTGCATTTTTAGCCTATCTTTCTTCCCTTTTCCTTTTCTTTCCTTTCCTTTAATTTCCCTTTCCGGGGTAAGTCTGCAAAGGTTCAATTTATAATCACCAAGGCGCGGATCCGCGTAGCGATTTTTTCGGCCTGGGCACCCCCCCCCCCCCAGTCCCAAAAAGTAGGATAATAACGTAAATTTAATCTTTTTTTTAAAGCAAAAAACAAAAGTGGGCACCCCCCCAAAAAAAAAAAAAAAAATAATAATAATAATAAAAAATATATATATTAATAATATTTTCGCCCACTCCGAAAAAATGTGGTGGTTCTCCTTTCCATCACCACCCCCCCCCCCCCCCCACCAGCGTATTCACCGGCTGGATGAATCGTTGCTAAACTGATTTTCTCACGAATTGCCCCCCCCCCCCCTCCCCCGCCTATTCACCGGCCGGCTGAGTCAGCGCTAAATTTTTCTCAAGATTTGGGCCCCCTCCCCCTATTGTCGCCGGTTGGATCCGCCCCTGGAATCACCAATACTTGTCATGCTCGTCTTCTTCACCCCCCCCCCCCCATTTTCTATTGAAGCGCATGATTTATTTGTGTTTACCTTCAGAATACGAAGCACAGTTTATAACGGATAGGTTATTATTTTGTGGGTGCATATACTGCATAATGGCTTGTCTAAAATTTCTTTCTCTCTTTCGCTTTTGCGTATTTTTCTTTATCTATATATGTTTTCGCTCACATTGGCGTTTATTGCCCCCCTTCAAGACAGTGCCACCCATGCAAGGCAATTTTAGTTTAAAAAAAGGGGGGGTGAGGGGTATATGTTTTATAGTGGTTATACTGCTGTTGAAGATGACAATATTTACGGAGCTAAAATTAGTATTGCCTTAATATCATAAAGCTATCACACGAAGTAACCAAACTATTTTTAAAAATAATTGAAAAATTATAAAATGATAATACCTTGAATTTTCTTGGAAAATATCATAGCCAAGGCTGAGGCATCCAAACCAAAGGCCGAGGCCCGTTAAGGCATGGAAAACAAAGCTTATATAAGGCGTCAAACATCAAGGCACTACAACACTGCCCTGCATGGATAAACACAATCATTACTGGGCACAATTAAATGACTTTTTGTAAAGTTTTGGTTATATTAGCTTGCCTATTCTGTCTCGAACATCTTCGTTTATACTAACATTTCTAATACTTTATCGGTACGTAGTTTTAAAATAGTAAGTACCGTATTAGGGATAACAAATGCCAAGTACTGAGATCATGGGTGTCGATCCCGGGGGGGATGGGGGGATATATCCCCCCCCCCCCCCCATATTTCAGGTGGGGGGATGGCCTGTACAATCATCCCCCCCCCCCCCCAATAATTCACCATCAAAAAAAAAAAAAAAATGAAGAGAAAAATTAATAATGAGAGTCCGATGAGAGTAGTTAATGGTTATTACTCGCAAGATGACCATCAATGTACACATTTTGCTATCTCATTTTCATAATACATACGTAAATGAGACAACCGCTCATATAGCTTCATCAGGAATTGATGAATTTATTCAATTATTCAATCAACAGCATCATAGAAATGCAGTGCGCCAAATGCAAAGCCGCAGCGTTAAAAAAGCAACGAGCTAAATGTTAAGCGCGAAGCGCAAAAGTGCAAAAAAAAAGAAGTAGAGAGTGTGAGAGAGAGATAATGAGAGACAAAGAGGATACAGGCGCGTAGCCAGGTGATGAGGAGGCGGTGGGGGCGGTCGCCCATCCCCCCCCCCCCCCCCAAAAAAAAATGCCGGCCAAAAAAAAGAGAGGGAGAGAGACAGAAAGAAGAAAGGAAAAAAAAGATTAAGAGTCGAGAACGGTACAACAAATCGTTTATTTCTCTAATAATGTGATGAAACGTCAAAGCTTGCGCTCTGCGCGGGAAGGGGGGGGGGGCGGAATTCAGACAAGGATTAAGAGTCGAGAACGGTACAACGAATCGTCTTCTTTCTCTAATAATTTAATGAAACGTCAAAAGAAACTGCATTTAGACAAGGATTTAGAGTCGAGAACGGTACAACGAATCGTCTTCTTTCCGTAATAATTTAATGAAACGTCAAAGCTTCCGCGCTTCGCGCGGGAGGGAGGGGGCACTGAATTAAGACAAGGATTAAGAGTCGAGAATGGTACAACGAATCGTCATCTTTCATTAATATTTTAATAAAATGTCAGAGCTTCCGCGCTATGCGCGGAGGAAGGGGAACTTAATTCTAACAAGGATTAAGAGTCGAGAACGGTAAAACGAATCGTCTTCTTTCTCTAATAATTTAATGAAACATCAAAGATTCCGCGCTTCGCGCGGGAAGGGGTGGAACTGAATTCAGACAATGCTTAAGAGTCGAGAATGGTACAACGAATCGTCTTCTTTCTCTAATAATTTAATGAAACGTCAAAAGAAACTGCATTTAGACAAGGATTTAGAGTCGAGAACGGTACAACGAATCGTCTTCTTTCCGTAATAATTTAATGAAACGTCAAAGCTTCCGCGCTTCGCGCGGGAGGGAGGGGGCACTGAATTAAGACAAGGATTAAGAGTCGAGAATGGTACAACGAATCGTCATCTTTCATTAATATTTTAATAAAATGTCAGAGCTTCCGCGCTATGCGCGGAGGAAGGGGAACTTAATTCTAACAAGGATTAAGAGTCGAGAACGGTAAAACGAATCGTCTTCTTTCTCTAATAATTTAATGAAACATCAAAGATTCCGCGCTTCGCGCGGGAAGGGGTGGAACTGAATTCAGATAATGATTAAGAGTCGAGAATGGTACAACGAATCGTCATCTTTCTTTAATAATTTAATGAAATGACAGAGCTTCCGCGCTACGCGCGGAGGAATGGGAACTTAATTCAAACAAGGATTAAGAGTCGAGAACAGTACAACGAATCGTCTTCTCTCTCTAATAATTTAATGAAACATCAAAGCGTCCCCGGAAGCTTTGATGTTTCATTAAATTATTAGAGGAACCCCCCCCCCCCCTCCCTGTACCCACTCCCTGGGGAGCGAGCTTCGCGCGCTAGGTAAGTGATTCGCACGCTTCGCGTGCTCACTACCACCCCCCTAAAATAAAATCCTTGCTACGCGCTTGAGGGGATAATAACCTAAGTTGCAAGCCCATTTTGGACCCACATGTGTCCCATATTCTCTGAAATGTTATCTTTATTGAGGGTGACTTGAGAAAGTTAATAACTTGTAAGGGAGGGGGTGCAACCTGCCACACGCTTCTACCTCTTGGTTGCTTTGATCCATTGCCTAAAATATTTTGGCACCTATCATCCCCCCCAACTACGGATACAAATCGACACCGTTGACTGAGATGGCTTTCATTCCCGTTCAGTATCATCGTAAAGTGTTCAACGATACTGTATCGGAACATGACGAAAACCAACAGGCCCGAGCTGGGGGCGGCCTCCGAGGGGCCCTGTCAAATATTTTATGTACACACGACCAAAAAGAAACGCGTGAAAAGGGTAATGTTTTATCAATAAAGATTATATAGCAATATGAAGGGGCAGACCTCGGCCTCCTAATATATCCCATCACTGCACCTCATATCACCCCCTTCTCATTTTGAGACACACGATCAGGGAAAGTAAACAACGGCAACGTCCACGTGCTTAATGAATATTCATTCTGAGTTCTATTTAGACTTGCGTTTCAAACTATTTCCGTATTCTGTTTTTTATGTGAGATTTTTTTATTGATAATTTTAGTTTTTATAGTTATCTAATGATATTGAATAATTTTTTGTTGATATAGTTCATGGGAATGATGTAAAAGCTACTGAACAACAAGAGATCTTGTAAAATATTAGATTTATTATTTCATGAAGGTAAATGTCATAGACTAGTTACGATCAGCTAGCTGTCATGAGTAGTGCGGAAGTAAGACCGATCGCGTAGTAACCATTCATCGGGGAGACTAGGCCTTGGCAACGTGGTAAACACACACGGACCGTAACTACACACGTAGGCCTACACGGGGAGTGACCTCTCTCGTTATCGACTATCATTTTTCGCAAAGAACCTAGTATATTTCACCCTTAAACTCAACAAAATGGCAACAGAAGTAGAAGGTAAGTGACAATGAAGTTAGTCGAAGTAAAATATTAAATTCATCGTGTCTGTGTTGTTATCTGTAAAATAAATTGTGACTTTTCTTCTTTAATTTCAGCTTCGCAATCGGGTTCGCAATCATCTCGGCGGCCGCCCCGGCTGGACGTGCTGTCACGCCCGAAGCAGCTGCCCTCAACATACCGCGAGGACAGGTGAGTTTCGTACCCGACCGGTTAACGGTTGGTCATAAAAAGGACATCATAGAGCTAAAAACATGTAATTTAGTTAAGTGATTAGATTCATAAAATGTCATGTAGTTCATTACTGTTGTGAAACTTCCATCAATTTAATTTTTCCCAATTTCATTAAATGGAGAATAAAAACTGAATGCTTTCATGTTTTTGCCAGGACGATATTTCAAAACATTCTTGTTATCACAATGTAAGATTTTGAGTTTTAAAGTACACAAATCAAGTAACTTATCAGTACATGTCAGTTTCAAATGTCTAGTTTAATTGCAATTAATGAGATATTAAATCTAAATAGATCTAGATCTAGATAAACAAATAGATCTATAGACTAAACAATATGAACTGTACAGTACAGAGAGCAGCTCTTCAGAGCTCTTCAGGCTTATTTCTGTTTAAAGTTCATCTGACTGGATCCCTATAAAAAAACAATCCAGATAGATAGATAGACAAGTATAAAGTCTATTTATTATTCAACTCATGAGAGTATTTTACTATTACCAGTATGCTTTTGTTGGGAATATGTGAAATAGATCTGTAGTGCAGGGTGAACAACTTTTTATGATTCAACTCTGCTTCTTCTCTGCATGCCGTAACTCTGCGCTAAAGATGATATTTCCATACATGATTGTGGAATTTATCAACGCAGGAAAATAATAGTAATCATATTTTATTTTTGCTTTTCTATATAAGCTTTCCACGTCAGTTGATGAAATCCACATATAAAACAATTCAATAACAATTTGTAAATGTTCTTTCAATAACATGTTATAAAAATACATGTATAAAGTTCATTAAGGTAGCTCAGCAGAATGTTGTGGCTCATGAAGATGCCTCAACATATAAGGCATAATTGTCGGAAATCATAACGTAAATTGCACATACTGTAGATGTACATGTAGAGGTAGATATTATTCATGAGGATTTCTATCTGGTATACATGCTCTACCTTGACGAGGTATGCACCGAATCACCAGAAAACTATGCCTTTCTTTCCAGACAAGTATCTTTGTGTCTCGCCATATTACCTAGGAAATTCATTTGACAGTGTTTGTCACATTCACACTTTCTTCAACTCTTGATGGATGATTCTACTGTAATGGTCTCCAATAAATTCCAAGTAGTCAAGTAGCCTTGTCTTTGTGTAATGATAGCAGCACTCTGTTTATTGTGCTTGCTTAGCCACTCATGAGGGGGGTATATTGATTTTCTTTTGTATGCAAGGTTGGCCTGTTATTGTATCCAGCATTTTTTGTCAAACACCTTATGTTCTTGGTTGACCCATGGACCTTCGTAGTAGGTCCATGGTTGATCCCATGACCCAAGTTCTCCCATTGTTTGCTATCGAAGTTGGATAGGTCATGGGTTACACTATAAATGTGTCACAACAATGCCTCTGTTGTTACGAGCTGTGGCACTCTCCGTAGAAGTACTAGTAGGTACAACTAAAAAAAATATTTTCTAATCCCTGCAGTCAGGCGCGTACGCAGGGGGGTAGCACTGCAGGCAGTAGCGTACGCTACGGGGTTTAACATGTTTAAATCGGGCCGAAAATTTCGCAACGACTCAGCCCCTTTAATTTTGTTTTATGTGTGTATTTCGAATCAAACCCCCCCCCCCCCTCCCTTTTTTTTTTTTTTAAATTATGCCAATAGCTGACCTAAAAAAGGTGACCTTACCCCTCCCCCCCAACGGAGCAAAATGTCAAATTTTAAAATTTCGAGACCAAAAAAAAAAAAAAAAAAAAAATTCCTCTTACCCCAACCCCCCCCCCTGCTTATTCAGCGGCTGGCTGAGTCGTTGCGAAATTTTCGGCCCGATTTAAACATGTTAAACCCCCCCCCCCCCTTCAAAATATCAGGTGTACGCTACTGCCTGCAGTGCTACCAAGTTTACAAAGCTGTGTTAGAAAAATTATTGGTAGTTGCAAGAGACAAGTACCAATCTTGTTCTATTTTCATAAAATCCTTTTTGAATGATATCTAACTTCTCAATTTATGAACCTGGGTAGCATTTCATGAAACTGTCATAAGTACAAGTTCACCAACAAGAACATCCCATTGTGGTGTCTATACCACTGAAACTAAGCGTCAGGTATTTTTTGGTGAAAGTCACACTTCTTGAAAACTCATTTTTGCATATGTTGTTTCCTTATGCTATTACAGGAGGTCTGTTTATTGGGTAGACAAGCCCCCTCTCATGCCAGGATCTGATGGTACAACAAAATTTGGTAAGTTACTGAGAATATAACTAAATATAACAACAGTTATTGAGAATATTGTTTAGTCATGAAATTCATGAAAATTTGAAAATAAATGCAATCTGTCTCATTACCTGAACAAAAATAAAGTTCAAACAAACAAAAATTTCAAATTTTGATCCTATTCACCTCATTTTATGATGTCTTGTACAAGACCAATAAAGCTCATTTAATAATCTCAAAAGGAAAGAATTTTTAGAAAAACGTGCTGTCTCTCTTTCTATTTTGTGTCTATCTCTCTGTTACATTCTTTCTTGCTCATCAATATGTGTCAAATAAACCTGATAATGTATTGATACAAGTAGTTCATGATTAAACTATATTTCACCAAGCATCTACGGTATATATTTTATTCATTCTCTTCACAGCTTGTACAGACTGGGTGGGAAGCCTTAGCAACCACAAGCCTATATATAGCAGATACCTTAGTGACAGGTAAGATCAGACAAGAGTTTTATATCCAAGCATTTCTTTTATTTTTAGTGGGAAAGATATCACACCAAAATGCTTTGGATGTTATAGTGATTCCATGTTTTCTCAGATGCCATTACTTCACAATGTTCAGACTGTACTTGTTCTGTTGTCCATTTTAGATGTAGAAATTGGCTATTTGCATAAGAGAGATGTATACATGTACATACATTAGCCATGTGGTTTCAATGGCAGTAACAGTCTTCTTGCTGGCAGCCAACAAAAATGGTCCAGCATGCATGTGTAAAATATTTGCATAATTTCACAAATCAAGTCAAATTTGTCTGTCTGGAATGGGTCTTAATGTCTGCACATGTATAACCAGATTCAATCAAGCAAAACTGTATAATTAAAACACTCAGATGCAGGGACAAGGGGAGAAATCTGAGCACATTTGTAATGATCAGTCTTGAACATTTGTTTTTATCATATTGTTTTTCCCTCTCTCTCTCTCCAGACCCTCACCAAAGTCGGTAGTTAGTAAAGCAGCCCAAAGCGCTGAAGCAAGTGATCGTGTTACCGTTCTTGCCGGGCCAAAGGATTGGGCACGACATTTCACCCTCCACCGACCTGTGATGACACACGTCTCCAAAGGTGCTAAGCAAGCCGGTCCATCTGAGCGCATCGAATCCCTGGCTAAGCCCAAGACATACCAGCCTCTTCAGATCAAGGACAGTTGGGATTTTGACATCAACGTATGGGACAATGAAATTTCATCTGCTGCCAAGAATGCTCGTTGCTCGGAACGCCTTGAAACTCTGGCAGAACCCAAGGCGCTACACAATCACTTCCGTTTCGCCAACCCCATAAGGTGGAACACAGAAGACTCCACATTGAAAGCCATTGCTACATTGCGACTACAACAGCTTGCTCGGCCAAAGAGTCGTGGCAAGAATGAGTACTTTGACCCATACAAGGTTTCATCAGCAGCCGTCCATGCAAGAGCCACACCCAGAATAGATGAACTATGTGCACCTATACCACGAAAGGTGCGGCAAAAGAAGGCTGGAGCTCCATAAATTATACTGATTTAGATGAATATTTGAATTATGAAAGATGCATGTATCTCAAGCAAGGGGACAGCATAAAAGACACTATTATCCTATTATCCTGTTGTCTATATATTATGAGCATTATCCATTCTGTTTTTAAGCCATAGTATGTTGCAATATTGTTTATTCAAAGAATGCACACAAACATTGTAAATATTTCAATGGCGTGCTATAAAAACTCTGAAGATTTTGACTGATTTATTGATAACATTCCTTGTGATACAAATTTCTTTTCAGGTTCTGTTTTTCATTTGATTCTACATTTGGTAATATGATAAATTCTTGAGGTTTTCCAAAAATATCTGGCGGTTATAAGTGCCTAATGATAATTCATTACTTTCATGAAGTGCTTTTATATTGTGACTACTTCCACTGTTTAAATGTGCCTTCATTTCTAAGGATGGAAATTCATATTGAGGTTGGTAAAGACCCTTTTCCCCCTCATTTATGAAGAAAGTTGAAAATATCGTTCCTTCGATCTTGACTTCTTAGAAACTGAGCTGAGAGTGTAGACCTAGACAAAATCATGGAAACCGACATTAATAGGCATACATCTACATGGCTTGAATACAATTAACTTATTTTACTACTTCATATCAGTTTATGCAATATATTAGCCATTAGTAGGGTGAAAATGAAAGTGTCTGTTCTTTTGACGTTACCAAGGATATAAACATGTATGTATGCTATCATTCACCTTGTTTTATCATTTAAGTGTCCTAAACATGGTTTATTATAAACAAATGCCTACTCGTGGTAGGAAATCTCTTCCAATGCAAAAGGGAGATCCTTTGTTGACATGAATGAAAATAATGATATCCGTATTAGTCTACATTTTTAAATATCACCAGTATGTGTGCAAGGTCTTTATAAAAAAAATAAAACATTGAATTCAGTGGAGAAAAAAAAGGAAGACAAAAAGTGTCTTGTGTGTGCATATTCAAGTCAATATAGTGACTCGTCTACAAAGTATTATCTTGTTATTCATTGAAAAGCTCACTGCTTGAGAGTCATGAAGTACAGTATGAAATAAAGAAAGAAACAGTATATGAAATAATCTATTTTGATTCAGATAAATCTTGAAAACTGGTATTGCTTGTACGAATCTTATTATTGAATCAAATCATATTGAATACCATCTGCAACACTTCTCTAACAAATTTGCTCATGTGTAACATTAATCATTTCTGAAAATCAATAACAATGGCAAATTATAACAACTTAACTAAATTACTAAAACAAGTGCTTTTTGTTAGCAATGGGTACTTTTTGAATTATAGACTGTAATAAAAATTAAAAAGTTGGTTATGCCAAAAATCTGCAATCTTAAAAATTAGACAAATCATTCTTTTCCCTCAATTGTTTTAAAATGTCTAATAAAAAAATCCTCTTTTGGGATTCATACTCTAAATTTTCCTTGTGCTATACTTGGTATTATATGTTTGCTATCATGAAGCTAGCAATCCTTTAGTTGTGCTATGCAATTTGTCTCAATGTCTGCGCAATTTATCTATGCAGTCTATGTAAATATGTGACTTTATATTTTATTTTCTTGCTTTTTTCGGTTGTGGATAAATATTGTTATATGTTGCATGCCTGTGTCTCATTGAAGCAGAAAGTCAATAAATCAGTTGATACTTGGTTCATGAAATGTATATCGTCTTTCCATTTTTGTCCTTTTTTACAAGACTTGATATATCGAGTGAATGGAGATGTTATTAATTACCGGTATGAATATAATCATGACAAATATTTTGTAATGCCTATATGCATTTGCTATCAACTAGTCCCTTTTGTTTTACTTTTCTGTTTTTCTCTCATCTCCCTCTCCATCTCTCTCTCTCTCTCTCTCTCTCTTTCTCTCTCTCTCTCTCTCTCTCTATCTCCCTCTCTGGGTTCTGCTAATTGTTTCTTACTCGGTACTTTTCATCTTTTCTTGTTTTCATCACAGACACAGCACAGTGGAGTATTAATTAAGTATAGATGCGCTATATAACAACAATACTTAAACAAAAGATAACAAAAACAAAACAAACGATCATATTTTCATGTACCTTACTACCTTCTGACTTGATGTTGTTATTCTTCAGAAAACTCTTGTAGATTCTAATTTTTCCTGAATCTGGCTAGGGCGCCAGCTTGCATGCATTTATTACAGGCTAGGCACGTACAGTCGGCACCCCCCCCCCCCCCTCCCAATTGCCCTTCTTAGCTTTAAAATTCAGACCATTTATGATTTCAACAACGGAAAGTTTACCTTATGCATGCAAAACGTTTAGCAGCCCCCGGTAGGTTTTGTTAATTGAACGTGCACCCTCGTTCTAACGACTGAAATTACTAGACTACGACACGACCACGTACGTAAGTGTTGTTGTTGTGCGTATAGACCTATGTTATGAGAGACCAGAGATATGCAGAGCAAAGCTGAGCTGAGGCCGAGGCTATCACTGTCCGAACATTTGATTGAGATATCTGGTTCTGGGGTTATTTCTCATTTTGAAACTATCGTCTGGAACTTTCTTAGTCATCTTGTTGATTGTGAGGTATGTAAAATCAAATGATCATGACAACTTTCACGCAATCTGTGCTGTGAGTTGTGCTTGTTGTGAATGTAAGCAGGGCGGTAGAAAATTCTGCGAGTGCAAGACACATGAAATGTATGGGGGGTGCGTTGCTGGTAACACTAGTCCAGCCGATTGGGCCTTTAGTTTTGGGGCACCTGGCACCCTCGAACTCGAGCACCTCTTTGTGTGTGTGTGTTGTAATACTAATATGGGGGCATCATGTTATCGGGGCTCAATTATTACTCTAGTAATTTTGTTCATGTTATCAGACTGAGAATGAGGATCGTCCTCATAAAAGTGGAAAAAATGCGTCCTAAAAAATAAGGATCGTCTGCCTTTCTTCGCGGACGTTTTTTGTCAGGCGCTCTGCGGGTTTCGGGTTACCGGACCGCCCTCTGTCGATGCGAAAAATGGATTCCTCTTGAATAAATAACCCTAGTTTACCGTCTACTTTTAAGGGTTGTCCGTCTTCCCAAGGATTTATCGCTCATAATATGAAAGTCTCTGTACAAAGTCAATGTAAAATAGACCTAGATCAAGAAAATCATTGCTAAATCCGTTTTTCGCATCGCAAACATGCCGATCAAAAATATGAAACGTCTGCAAAAATGCAGCCGATCCTTATTTTTTAGAATGAATCGGTCTGTGTTTACGAAGAGGTGAAGAGGTAGTTCGTACAATTTCAACTTTTAATGTTTTTCAACTCCTCTGAAAAAAAGAGTCTAGAGTAAAGGAGCCGGTAATCGGCCAGCTCCAGTTTTCGGCCGATTGGTTGGATGCAAGGTAAAATCACTCTAAAATACATCGCATAATAGCATAACACATATCCCACACATACCATACCATGCCAGTGTCACTGAAGAACCACATTTGCAATGAAAAATATATCCTAAAATATCACATTTTAGCGATGTAATCGGCGGTCCCGCTACCCGAATCTGAAAAATCGAGTATTTTACGCGTGTCTGTAAGAAATATGGGTACCATAAAATGAGCTTTATTTCAAGTATTTTTCAGATTTAGAGCCCGATTTTGTGCTAGTCGCAAGCTCAAAGTATCTCATCGCATGTATTAAATCAATGCAGCCGCACACCGCAACGCACACACGATATCTCTGTCTAATTCAGATTCCAACTTCCGATCACCGCTGTGCCTGTCTTCGGCCAGGCGAGCACTCGGGAGCTCCGGCGTGGGATACCTGCTCCGCCCGCTTGTGCTGTACATCAGCACGGAAACGCACGGCGCGCGCGAGCGCTTCCTATTGACTTTGTACATGCGGCCGTAAACTGAAATGCTCGGCCGATAACTGGCTCCAAAACAGTGAAAATTGAAATGAATATTGTCATGGCAATTCGTGATTTTTTTTCTGGGATTCTTTTTTTGTTTAAATAATAATAATATTTGCTTCATGATTTGAACAAAAAATGATAATAAATAGGAAGTAAAGGGTCCTAAAAAAAGGATTTTGTCTTAAGTGGCCGAAAACGGGCTACTTTACTCTAATTAGAGTTTGCCTGTGTGAGGTGTCACCATTGAGCAAAATCGTTCTCCATAGACATTAAATTTTATCCTGCAGAGTTTGTAAAGTAGCGAGTTTCGGACGAAACAATATGTCATATGACTTATACACATGATGTACCTTGTACATACTTAGACAGAAATAACTGTATGGCATGGGGAATAAAAACTGATGTTTGGCAACTTTTCTCCAATGACCCCCATACACAGATAGTAACCCTTGCTGGGCACACAATGGAAAGAAATTAACTAGCCAATTATGATTGGAAAGAAAATAGATCTAATTTACATAAATAATAAAACATCAGAAATCTTTTTAATACATAAAAATATAGCATGTTACTAGTTTCAGGAAACTTTCAGCTGATCTGTCTGTTTTCTTGAAGTTTATCTATCCGTTTTCTTAAAGCTATTGCGCGTGATGAGATTGGCAATCACACACAAAACTTCACTGCGTAAACTCCCCTTACTAATCTGTACATGGTATACTTCAGTCTCTGTATAGAGTTAGTGGAGAACCTTCAATATCAGAGAATGAAGCTTTCTGTCTACTTTAAGGCTGTGCACAACGGTGTAATGAGGTACCCGAGTACACTCCCAGGCTTACAAGCGAATACCACTGGAGCAGTATCCCACGTCGCCGAAAATGCATGCAATTTTACTTTGAGTTGCAGTTGAAGGCGCCGATTTAATAATAATAATAATAACAGTAAACAATGCTGTTTTAAAAACCGAGGATGGCAGAATAATCCATTTTCCTCTGAGTCCAAACAGAAATCCAGACATTTGGTCCCAGTTTCTGAGTGGTGAGTTTTACAGTGCTTGAGTTGGGAAACATTTTTACCGACGGTACCATGCACTATGAATATGACTGACAAAGAAAATGGACAAAGTATACAGTTCCTCAGGTAGACAAAGGAACATCCCTTCACTGCTATTGTGTAAAAATGTGTAGAACAGGTGTCACATGCATATTCACCTGTTCTACACAGTTTCACATAATAGCAGTGAAGGGATGTTCCTTTGTCTACCTGAGGAACTGTATATTTTTTTTCGCTTTCTTTGTCAGTCATATTCATAGTGATGCCAGCGGCCGCCGCTCTCCCTGGCACGGGTAAGTGTGGGCCTGGACAGTGCCAGGTGACCGGGATTTTTATTTATTTTTTTTTGCGGCCGAATATTCGGGTACGAGAAATCGTACTCGAGTAGTTGTCAACAGTGCGGGTACTCGAGCATTCGACTACTCATCGCAGCGCTAGTCTACTTGCACTCCTGCATGCTGCACTGCTTTGTATAATTGGCTCCTAGAGGGTGTCGAGCATAGCCCAGATTTGTCTGAGGTTTTTAAAATATCACTTTCAACTTGGAAACCCCAAAATTTGTCGCAGAGTAATTAATACTTGAAGACTCCCTGAAGCAGGTACATGTAAACTAGCAATATGAAGAAAAAAATTAAAATCTGCTTCCATTGAATTAGGTACATCATCTTGAAGTAGTGCAGCAAAGTGCTCATTTTAAAACACTCTGCAACTGACAAAAAAGTCATAAAAATTTCAAGCACAAGAGTGTACAGTTGCTTTATCCCAAATAACTACAATCACAGGTAGTAAAGGAATTAAGATAATTCCATCAACTGCTGGCAATATATTGCACATTCTTATGATATCACATTTTATTTACAATTTGGTGACCTCTGGGGCTATAATCCTATATTGAACTATATTTTCCCTCGCATTCAACCCGTGAAGACACCTTTGCAATTATTTTTTTTCTTCAACCGCCAGAGTACTCTGTAATTATTTGCTTATGAAGCCTTTTACTACATGTACATGTAGGCCCAGTTAAAAGCGATAAGGGCAGGGGGGGGGATATATTTTGGAGAAAATGTGTATATGAAATAGCCATTGTCAGGGTTGGCACATTTGTGAACAATAAAGCCATTCAGGAGGCATACTTGTACACTGTAGGTTTTTCAAAAACAGGAGTTTTGCTTGAGATCCTGCCAAGTTCAGAGGGGTGTTTCACAATGATCCCCAGTTGAACTTATCTCTAATTTGGACTTAACCATTATGCAGAGCCATTTGCATCTATGAAAATATTTTGTAAAAGTCATTTTAAAAGGCTGAAAGTGTTGATTCAAATCATTCATATTTTCTATTATCAAGGAGAGTTCATGTTCTCGATGTGGAATTTATAAAAAAAAGTCTAAAATACTTGAATTTTCTCTTTTGAATATATTTTATTTTAAGGCTATTTGGCTATCCAAATTTTGAAGTTCAACTTAGAGTTAAGTTCAACTTAGGATCTTTGTGAAACACCCTCCAGATCTGATTGTGAGCATGAGCAAGACTCGATGGAATAGCAAGTTGTGAGTCATCGATTACTGAAAATCACCAGATGTCTTTTGAAATAGAGTGCTGACAAATGCGTTGAACATGTTCATGTAAGGGTAGTACTAGTAGGGTTCTGTATTATTGAATGCCAGCCAGCCGCCCCTGTTCTATAATCTGAAGTGACATATAAAGTAGTTGCTCTAGATTTTCAGATTACATCACCCATTCCAAATTATTCAACAGTATTTAGCATTACATATAATTATATGCGTCATAAGAATTGAAAATATTCTGAAAACCTTTCTGTTGGCTAAATAAAGGGCGTAAAAAACGAAATAAAATCATGTGATTTTACAAGTTACCGGTACATCAAATCAATCTTCCATCATGCACAGTATGCTACGAACTTTTTTCACAGTTTTCACTAACTTTTTCAAAAAGATGATGTTTCATGGTTGATGTCAGCCTGATAGGAAAAAAAGAGAAATTTATGTGAAAGAAATTAATATGAATTCTCGAGAAACAAATTATGGAACAAACTTTCTAAATTCTAATGCATGTTTTGAAGTACATATTTATAGGCCTGCTTGTATTTTAGAATCAGCAATTCAGCACTGTCTGATTGATCAGTGTTTATTGATAGAACTTTAAGAAACTATAATAATGAGTATGATGATTATTATAACAATAGTTATAATAATGAAATTTAATAAATGAAACTGAATAAACAATGATGATGGTGATAATTACAATTGTTGAAATGACTATAAGTATTATTATTAAGACTAAAACAATTGTATCTAGTGAATTCTCTAGAAGTTAATGAATACTGCAACTTTTGCAGGTAGATCATAATATATACATGTAAAGGAATGTTGAAATAGACCAGAACATTTGTTATGTACATTATGTTTGATACTAAATACATGTACATAAATTATTTGGGTGTGTGTGTCTGGATGGGGGGGGGGGGGGAGGGGATCAGTGAAGATGCATATGAGCCCTGAGTGAGTAGGCTCAGGAAAGCCATGCAAAAGCTGAAAATTAAGTATAAAGAAGACCCCCCCAAAAAAAAAAACCACACAAAAAAGAAGAAGCAAGAAACAATAAATCTCTGTACAGTATACTACTGACTGTCATGGAATCCAAAAAGAGCTCCTGTAAAATATACATGTAGGTATCTTTAGTATGTATACACTACATGTGTGTGTTTTTATTATTTGGGGGTTGGGGGGGGGGGAGCTAGGCTATAATTTTTTATTTGATGTTTATTTTCCTTGTGTATACATGTAAAGGCGAGTCTGCACAGTAGACTATCCAACTGTGGGCCCTGCGCTTGCACTTGAGCATGCATAATGGATTTAACCTTTCCATCGATGGTAGCTAGCTGCTATTGTGTTAGTGAATGATTACATGATGAATGCACAACATTGCTTGGCCATTATATCGAGCTGTAGAACAAAGCACTTGAACCCGTGTGGTCTTGTGTTTACCTGTAAATGGATGGGCAGGAGAAGATGCCAACTTGGTGAGTATCTTCATACACCATTGTTCAAATTCAGTCACACAGGGAGTTCTTAGAGCTGGATGATGCATGTTCGTGCGAAGGTAAAATGAAGTAGTGTTTTATATTAATGTGTTGAGATAAGGTCTGAGGAGAGTTTGCGAGGGAAAGTGAAGTATGTTAATGCAGAAGTGTGGATGTATGAATAACCAATACACAATGAAGAGGTGTACACGTAATAATGCTAACATCGTACCAGTACATACTAAGGTATACTGATGGAATCTGGTTATTATATTATAGAACCTATCAAAATCGTGGGAAAACATTGCCTGTCGAGAAATTGACATTGTAATGATTGTAGTACTTTATCATGTGTAGTGATAGATTACATCTGAATAGAGGTTGCCGGTACATGTAGATCAATCTTTTTTGTAGCAGGTCTTTTGTTAGATGGAGCCTACCGGTATATAGTTGCCGTTGCTAAACTTGCTACTGTAAAATATTTCTTGACTTTCAACTGATACATGTATAGCTGGCAGAATGTGGGCCAATGTGTTTTTTGAAGGCCATCCAATGATTCAACCTGTTTAAAGAGAAGGTTGAGTTCTGGGAAGAGGTGAACGATAATTTGTGAGCGTTATCATTCTTATTATGCAAGTGTGGAAGAACATCAGATAAGATATGTTCTAGTGCTGTAGTCAAACGTTTAACCGTCCGGTATCCGACCGCCCATGGCGGATTCCGTTTTCAATTCTCGCTACCCTAAATAGGTACGAAAATCTCGAAATTCGCGAGACGAGGTAATTTTCACTCTCTCGGGTCGTCACTACAACTTCCGGTATAGAGTCCCATCCCAAGTCACGGCCTTCATCCACCCCCATTTTTCAGGGTTCTTACGCTTGGAATCATGAGCCCAGCACTGTGCAGCCTCACAAAAGAAAACCATCGTCACTGATGTCAAAAGACGCAAAAAACAACGAATGAAATGTTCAAATAAACGTTGAAATATTTGCGAAAAAAAAACAAGACCGAGCAGACGACATATTCGGTGCATACACGTTGTGTGGCGACGGCGTTTTACGTTTGCGCTATCGCGCCGCCTGCACAGGAAGCTGTAATGTCGAAAAGCTATCCCATAATGCAATGCGCGTTTTCAGGATTTTCCCCGGATCTCGGCAGAATCGCTATTTGGGGTAGCGAGAATTGGGCGGTTTCGTTTTCCCGTTTTTTTTTTTTTTTTTTTTTTTTTTTTTTTTTTTTTTTTTTTTTTTAATAATTTTTTTTATATATTTTTTTTTTATAATTTTTTTTTTAAAGTTTTGATTTATGGCACTATGCCTGGCAATATCTCCCAGCTCGGTAATAGGTGTGATGACTCACCACTCGGAAACCAGAACAACACTGTCATCTTGGTTTAAAAGTAATCCTCTCAAAAGGTAGTTTATTATAATAATTCATCCAATTTTTACACATGGCGTACCACAAGGTTCTATCCTAGGTCCTCTACTGTTTTTAATTTACATTAATGATCTTACACATTCTTCTAAAATTGACATTGTTACTATTATTTGTGACTAGTTCACAAGTACAAATCGGTGCCTTCAACTGCACCTCGCAGTTAAATGAAAGTCCTTCCCGCTTTTTCACACGGACCTGGCCAAAAATTTTTTTTTTTTTTTTTTTTTTTTTTTTTTTTTTTTTTTTTAATCGTTTAACCGAAAACCGTCCGGTTTTGACTGGCGGTTAAACGGAATTGGAGATATCCGTGATGTTACAGCACTAATATGTTCCCTGAAAAGCATGGCTCTTCAAATGCCTTCATATTCTAAATATGTCATGTAACATGGCAAAACTCAGGGGTAGGATTTTTACCCCACATGTTCATGTAGTCCCATATACATCTTTCTGTGTACAGTGTTTGTAACTTTACCAAGACTTGGCCAAATTTCTTTTCATTTTGATGATTCCAGAACCTTGCAATACACACAAATTCTTATATGCTAGATGATCAACCTTTTCTGGTCGATTCCACACCGTTTCTTTCACAATGCAATCGCATGACCAGAACTCAACTTCATCTTTAAAGGAGCTACACAAAGAAAATTCACTAACAACTCATAATTAAAACAAATTACATATGGATGGAAAGATTTTCTCTTGAAAAACACGAACAATTTGCTGAGAAATCATATAGATATCATGGAAAGGCGTAAAATGCAATTGTTCAAGACCCTCCTTAGACCCCTGAACGCCCCTGAATGTAAGTCAAACACACAAGCGTAGCGAGCCCTAAATAGTGACGTCACACACTGGACGAACAGCTCAGTGCCGTATAGCAGTATGCAGCTAGCCAGCCGTGTCCCGTATGTGACGTCACAAATATTGACGCTCTACAAAGGACCACTGAAGGCAGAAAATCTGGATCTCAAAACTAACATTTTTGAGAGTTGATTACTGCGGGCCCCAAACATATTTTGAAGAGAAGAGTTGTTGTATTTGATTGGCAAGGCTTCCCCTTCGAAATAATATGAGTTTTGCATCAATTCAAAACACTTTTGATCTTTGTGTTAATACTTTAAGAACATTCTGAAAATTGTATCTGCTCCAAGTACTTGCATGTATACATCTAAAGTACATGCAAGCTCATTCTTCTGTCAAGAGAGTCAGAATTTGATTTAGCACTTGCTTGCCAGACTGCATGACTCACTTTGGCTCTAAATGTACAGTAAGTTACACGACAGCCAACTTTAATAAGCACATGACTTCATGACGTACATGTCTTTTTTATACAACTTCCATGGGAGACATTTTATGTCCTATTGATTGATATAGATGTATTACAATTTTGATTTCCTTTTTCATTGTCGATTTACGATATTATCTTTACGGTAATTCCATGGCAAATTAGGGGTTATTTTTTTAACACTATAAACAATTCTTTGCACAGCAAGTGCAGTATATGGAAGCTCATCCTTGTGTCAAGTGCGTCAGATTTTCAGAAGAAGTTTAGCACTCACTTGCCAGACTGCATGACTCACTTTGGCCCAGAGTTATACCACAGCCAACAAATGCTCATCATGTTCATTATATGTCTTCCTTTTTTTCTTACACTGCCCAATGGGAGACATTTTATGCCCCATCATGCCCCATCAATTGATTGATACGTGAAAGTTAACAGAAAAACTTTTTATTGTTTATTTACAATCATTCCTCTTAATTTCCATGGCAAAGTAGGGGTTATTCAGAAGCACTAAGCAATTCTTTGCACAACAAGTGCTTAAAGTAGTATGCAAGCTCAACTTATCTGTCAAGTGCGTCAGATTTTTAGAGGAAGTTTAGCACTCACTTGCCAGACTACATGACTCACTTTGGCCAAAGTTACATGACAGCCAGCACGTACTCATGATCAAGATCACTGTTTTTCATAAAGTTTAAGCCTACACTTTCTACTCCATACTGGGATAACAGATGTTGATTATTGGCCTGATAGATTACAGTCATCACAATCACAAGTTCGCTTATCTTACTTGAAATCACTCAGAAATGAAAGTTTGAGCAATATCCAATTAAATATAGGAATTTAGGAAAGTTATGAATTTTAGAAGTTGTCGTCAGATGATCACTAAAACACAAATTGTTAACACTGTGATGTATCTTGTGAGGTCCTCCAATTTGCTCTGTACAGAAAATTTCATACACTTTCATATTCTTAGTTATTGATGAAGGTTGCTCAACCTTTTACTTTCTACTTTTATTAAAACCTAACTTATTATCAGGATGGACTGAGCTTTTTTGAGGCAATTTTGTTCTCTCTCAACGAATGAAAGTTTTAATGAAATCAATGAGGATTTGTAATGAAAATGTAATTTTTAAATGAGCTGTTGTAAGGTCTAATATATATATTTATTTTCTTTGGTCATCAATACATTTATAGAGGAGGATGAATCTGTCAGACCAGGTAGTTTTTACAGGTTGGAAAAGTTGTCTGCCAGTACAATCACAGCAACAATACCAAGTCTCTTAAATTTCTCCACAGTAGAGATTTCACCTTTTGATATTTTATTATTAGTTTATTTTGTTCAAACTTTTCCCTGATAATTAAACATGGGAAGAAAACATTTGGTACAGATTTATATGTAGGGCCTACAACCATTTAGTGTTCAGTAGCTGGTTTACAATTATGGAGCCTTTCTATGTAGAGTGTACAGAAATGGAGACTCGTACCCACAGAAATGTATGAGTAAAATATTACCACATTCTACTGTGTGTCATGTACACATTGTGGCATACATTTAGAGCGTGTAAAAGCTAGGATTAAAAGAAGAGAAGACTTGGCAAGGCTTTGTAAAGTTTTAAAGGCATCTCTCGTATCAGTGCTGTAATCTAGTAAGCAAACTTTCCACAGTGCATGCTTTTGTTAAACATGGCTGTTATTATCCAACTTGATTGTATTTTCTCATCGTGCGTACTTTTTAACTGAAGACAATGCATTTTGTTTAATTACATGGTAAGCCATGGTTAATTATTATGTACAACCTGAACTATTGCTGTAAAACTGCCTATACGTGTACTCAGCAAATTCACACAGAATTTTTTCCTTCACCACAATGACTTGAAAGCACATCAGACAATCAATCTGAACCCACGGTCAGGGGCAATTTTTGTTGTGTGTGTGTGTGTGCTGTATACCTAAGGTAATAAGAGAAAAACTGAACAGATATAGTACAGAAGTCTAGTTTGAAAATATAGTTTGCTATAAGTTTTTTTTTCCATCAGCGTCTATTGAAATTCAAAAATTTAACAGCTGATATAGATTGCCACAATTGATGTTTTTATTTGCTAGAGTCTATTACAAATTTAAAAATTCCAAAGTTTGATATCCATCATAATTAAAATTTCCATCATAATTAAGATTTCCCTCAAATTTTGTATTGATCTCTTTTTTGTTTTTTTCTTCTTTTTATTGAAGTCATTCTACATTATGTAGGTTGACTTTTGAATTGACCTGATCTATTTGACTACTTGATAAAAGAGCATTGCTTAGAATTCAATTTGTTTAGGAGGGAAAAAAAAAAATTCCAAAATAGATTGTGTAGAATTT